ACCTTTGACAAACCTGACAAAAGCAAGCAAAGGCGAAAGGATTTTCTATTTATAATAAATGGTGTTGGGAACACTGACTAGTCATATGCAGAAAACTGAAACTGGACCCCTTCCTTTCACATTATACAAAAATTTACTGAAGATGGAGCAAAGACTTAAACATAAGATTTAAAACCATAAAAACCTTAGAAGGAAACCTAGGCAGTACTGTTCAGGACACAGGCATGGGCAAAGACTTCATGACTACAACACCAAAAGCAACTGCAACAGAAGCCAAAATTGACAAATGGGATCTACTTAAACTAAAGAGCTTCTGCAGAGCAAAAGAAACTCTCATAGAGTGAACAGACAACCTACAGAATGGGAGAAAATTTTTGAATCTACCCATCTGACAAACGCTAATATCCAGAATTTACAAGGAACTTAAGGAAATCTTAAAAAAAAAAAAATCCCGCCGGGCTCACATCTAAAATCCCAGCACTTTGGGAGGCCGAGGTGGGTGGATCACGAGGTCACGAGATCGAGACCATCCTGGTCAACGTGGTGAAACCCTCTATATACTAAAAATACAAAAATTAGCTGGGCATGGTGGCACGCGCCTGTAGTCCCAGCTACTCGGGAGACTGAGGCAGGAGAATTGCTTGAACCCAAGAGGCGGAGGTTGTGGTGAGCCGAGATTGTGCCATTGCACTCCAGCCTGGGTAACAAGAGCGAAACTCCGTCTCAAAAAAAAAAAAAAAATCCCTTCAAAAAGTGGGTGAAGGTTAAGAACAGACAGGTCTCAAAAGAAGGCATTTCTGTAGCCAACGAACAAAAAAAAAGCTCCTCATCACTGACAATTAGAGAAATGCAAATCAAAACTACAATGAGATATCATCTCACAGTAGTTAGAATGGTGATCATTAAAAAGTCAGGAAACAAGGCAAGCATGGTGGCTCAAATCTGTAATTCAAGCGCTTTGGGAAACTGAGACAGGCAGATCATTTGAGGTCAGGAGTTCAAGACCAGCCTGATCAACAAGGTGAAACCCCATCTCTATTAAAAATGCAAGACTAGCCAGACACAGTGGCACATGCCTGTAATCCCAGCTATTCAGGAGGTAGGAGAATCACTTGAACCTGGGAGGCAGGGGTTGCAGTGAGCAAAGATCACACCATTGTAGTCCAGCCTGGGCAACAAAAAGTGAGACCCCATCTAAAACAAGATTTAAAACTACAAAAATTAGCCTGGCACAGTGGCAAGTGGAAGGCTGAGGCACAGGAATCCCTGGAACCTGGGAGGTGGGGGTTGCAGTGAGCCAAGATCAGGCCATGGCACTCCAGCCTGGGCAAGAGAGCAAGATTCTATCTTAAAAAAAAAACAAACCACGGATCAGGAAACAGCAGATGCTGGAGAGGTTGTGGAGAAATAGAAATGCTTTTACACTGTTGGTGGGAGTGAAAATTAGTTCAGCCATTGTGGAAGACAGTGTGGGAATTCCTCAAGGATCTAGAATCAGAAATACCCTTTGACCCAGGAATCCCATTTCTAGGTATAAACTGAAAGGAGTATAAATCATTCTACTGTAAAGACATATGCACACCTATGTTCATTGCAGCACTATTTATAATAGCAAAGACTTGGAACCAATCCAAATGCCCATCAATGATACACTGGATAAAGAAAATGTGGCACATATACACCATGGAATACTCTGCAGTCATAAAAAAGAATGAGTTCATATCTTTTGCAAGGACATGGATGAAGCTGGAAACCATCATTCTCAGCAAACTAGCACAGGAACAGAAAACCACACACCACGTATTCTCACTCATAAGTGTGAGTTCAACAATGAAAACACATGGACGCAGGGAAGGGAACATCACATATCTGGCCATGTCAGGGGGTGGAGGGCAAGGTGAGGGATAGCATTAGGAGAAACACCTAATGCATGCAGGGCTTAAAACCTAGATGATGGGTTGATGAGTGCAGCAAACCACCATGGTTCATGTATATCTCTAGAACAAACCTGCGCGTTCTGCACATGTATCCCAGAAGTTAAAGTATATATAACAAAACCGCAATGAGATATCACCTTACCTCAGTCACAATGACTATGATTAAAGGGGTGAAAAACAAAGAGCTGTTGGCAAGGATACGAAGAAAGGAGAACTCTTACATGCCCTTGGTGGGAATGTAAAGTAGTACAGCTTCTGTGGAAAGCAGTATGGTTCCTCAAAGAACTAAAACTAGAACTACATTTCCAGGGAGCAGACCTACTACTGGGTTATCTTCCCAAAGGAAAAGTAGTCAGTGTATCAAATATATACCTTGATCTGTATGTTTTTTGTAGCAACATTCACAGTAACAAAGACATTGACTCAACCAAAGTATCCATGGATGAATGATTGGATTAAAAATGTAATTATATATACGCAATGACATACTACTTAGTCATAAAGAGGGAATGAAATCACATATTTTATGGCAATATGGATAGAACTAGGGGTCATTTTCTTAAAAACAGGCTAGATACAGAAAATTATATATAACAGGTTCTCATTCATAAGCGCTTACAAAAGAATGTATTTACATGGATGAAGAGAGTGATATGATAGACAATGATGACTTGGAAGTGTGGGAGCAGAGGCGTTGAATAGTGTTATATTAATGAATAAATACAGTGCTTTTTATCTGAATAAGGAATACCCTAATGTCACGTCTTAAGCACTATATGATGTATGTAACAAAACCAAACTTGTAATACATACATTTGTGCAAATAAAAGTTTTCAAAAATTGACAGAAAATCTAGACATACTCCTCCCCCATCCCCACCATAGAAAGAAGACTATGACCAGTGTGACCATAGCAGGATGAATTAAGTATAGAGCAGCCCCCAATTCCAGAGATAATTGCAGCTCAATACACAGGACCTTAGCATAGCAAAAAATTCGCATCTTGATTTTAGAGAGTAAAGTTGTGGCAATCAACTGGAAAACATAGAAAAGTAATACAATTTTTAAATGGTTACTGTGGGGAATTCACTTTTGGGAAATAAATAGAGCTACTATTTGATGTAACTTCAGATGAGGCGTGCTGAGATGGGCTGATAGAAATGGAAGTGATGAAACTGGCTGCAGTAGGAAATGACTCTGAAGCTTGAACCTCACGATGATCACATAGCTAGATGTAATGTGATGTAATAGGAAAAGAGAAGAGGCAAGAATAAATCCTAGTTTGCTTAGTTAATTAGGTGAATTATTTACCAAGACCAAATAGAGTTGGAAGAGGAAGAACTTTGTAGTTGAAGGAGGGAAGAGGCGGAGGTGGGAGAAACCCCAGGAGAGAGTGGGAGGTTCCTGGAAAGATTGATAAGTGTTCCCAAAACAAGGGTAGGATCAATAGTGTTAAACTGCTGAGGGGTCACAGGAGATGCAGGACTGAGAACTGATTCCTAAAATAAGTGAAATGGAGGCACTAGAAGACAGACGTGGAGTGGAAAGAACAAAAGCATCTTTAATGTGTGTGTAAGAAAAAAATAGGAGGTGACGGGATGGGCAAATAATTATATACATATGTGTTAAGAACTTTCACAATAAAAATGGCAGACAAATAATATGGTAGGAAAGAAGCACTAAGAGTCTTAGAAAGCCCTCTGTAGAAATCGGTGATGTTTCAGCAGGTCTTTGCTGATGGAAATAATTTCATAGTGTATAGATGTAAGAATCAGGAGACAAAAGGGTCACATGCAGAAGCAAAATCCTCGATTGGGTAATGTGGCACAGAATCAAGAGGGAATTTGAGAGATGGTGTTAGGGAGACTTCACCTATGATAGTAGGAGAGAAGCCAGAGACCTGGAATTGAACTGAATGTGGGTTGGTCAACTTGGTGGTGGTTATGGTGAGATCCTTCTGTTCTGATTTTTCTGACTTCTTCATGAATTCTCTGAGGCTATCAGTGGGCACACGGGCAGTTTTCTAACATTGAACCCTCCTTGCTTGAGAAGCAGATATGCCAATCTCTGCAAGGTGTTTGGTATGTATGTTATCTCATCAGCCTTCATCCTCTAAGGTAATTGCTATGATTATTCTCATTATAGATGAGGAAATTTAAGCTCCGAGAGAACAACTAGCTTTTTAAGAGTCTAGCAAGAAAAAGAATTATGTCTTACTAAAATCTGAGAGTGTCCAAATTCTTTGCTCCTTAAAACCATGTTGCCTCCTTGATGAAATCCACTCAGTTTTCATTGAAGAATGCTGAGGAACATCAGGAGGGAGAGAAGGGATCACTGTTAAAGTTGGGTAAATGGGATAGAGTGGGTTCTGGGAATAAGAAGCATACAACCATATTCATTCCCTTGAAAACCAAACTCAGTTTCCTCAAAATTATAAGGATTGCTTTCAGCTTCTGGGACTTTTTTGCATTTATTGTGTTTTTTATCCTTTAGATTACTGGAATATCACTAGATAATCTAAAAAAAATGTTAAAATTTCAATTTGTGCAATGGAAATCAGGGATGGCCCAGGTGTGGTGGCTCACACCCATAAGTCCAACACGTTGGGAGGCCAAGGCAAGTGGATCACTTGAAGTCAGAAGTTCGAGCCTAGTCTGGCCAACAGGGTGAAATCCCATTTCAACTAAAAATACAAAAAAAAAAAAAAAAAAATAGTTGGCTGTGATGGTAGGCACCTGTAATCCCAGCTACTCTGAAGGCTGAGGCAGGAGAATAGCTTGAACCAGGGAAATGCAAGTTGCAATGAGCTGAGACCACACCACTGCACTCCAACCAGGGCGATAGAGTGAGACTCTATCTTGGTTGGTGCGGGGAATAGAAATTGGAAGTAGAGAAACAGCACAACATTTTTCATGGAAGCTGGCTAAATTAGGATTAAGGAGGAGGAAAACTAAACTAATTACAATTAAGGAGAAGGGATCCTAGATGTTTTTATAATGTGTTCTTGATCCTCACATTCCACATTCACAAACACTGAGAAAGAGACCACAATCAAAAATTGCAAGCTGATTATTTTATTGGTATATTAAAGGTAAAGTTATGATGACGTCGTTCCAATGCCATGGCATTTGATGCAATTGAATTATTTGAATAACGGATATCTTCTTATTCACCTCCTGAAAGAAACAAACAAGGAAGTTCACAGAGCAGACTTGGGGCAGGAAATGTCTAATTCCTCACCGGAGTTACTGCAGTAGAGTAACGTGAGCCCACCCTCTCTCCCCATATCGCTTCTACCTCTTGTTTCCTTCCTAATTTTTTTCTGTGTTCACCCTTTTGATGCCCTGGAACACAATGTGCTCCAAAGTGTTGCTTAGAAGATGAAGAGAGAAATCATTCTTAGGCTGTTATGACTCCTTGCTGTTGAATTTGTTCAGAGATATATTTATACAGATGGTAACTGGAACATATGCTATAATAGTGGGAAGCTGAAACCACCCTCAGTCTCCAGTGGTGCATTGATTAAAGAAATCATGGCACAGCCACACGATGAAGTAGTGTAAAATTATAAAAACTAACAGAAAACCACTGAAGAAATGTACTTATGTGGAAATTATCAAAGGAATATATTTTTAAATGACAAACATACATACCGGCATATAAATTACGGCAATAATTCTAAGGGAAAAATATTACAAATGTCTAATACACATGAATATTTCAAAAAGAAGATGACATAAAGAGCGGTAGATTTCTGAAAGAGTGCAGGCAGGTAAGATGAGATATGCCTTTAAATTTAACTTCATATTTTTCCATTCCATTACATATTTTTTGTTAACTTAATCACGTACTTATTGAAAAGTAACTATTTATAAAATGAGACACCATTTAGCTACCGGAAGTTCAGGGACCATTTTTCAGAAATAATGGACTAGAGAAGCTGGTGTGAGGCAGAACTGAGCAAATCATGCTTAGATAAAAAAAAAACTTTAAATGGTAGGTCTCTCAGTTTGTGGACAGAAACCAGAGCGCCAGAGAGAGAGAACATGGTACTACTTCCTCATAGCCAACACAATTTAAGACAGGTTATTTGGAATGTTGTTTCTCAACATCAGAATTTCTTAAGGAGTTTGTTAGAAATACAGGGTCTTGTTACCCTATTCTGGAATATCTGAATACAAATCTTTAGAAATAAGGTCTAGGACAATGCAATGTCAGCGGGCTTTTAGTTGATTCACTGGCACAATAAAGCTGGAGAACTGCAGCACTTAGAGCCCTTGGTGAAGAATACACTGGAATCATACTTGTCATTGAAGCCCAGATCACTGGGGAGGTGGTCCCTGGGGAGGCAGTCCCTGGAGAGATCTGGGTGGTCTTCCCCCTTGAGAAGATGGAGGTGGTCCCTGGGGAGGTGGTCCCTGTGGAGGCGGTCCTGGAGAGATATGGATGGTCTTCCCCCTTGAGGAGGTGGAGGTGGTCCCTGGGGAGATGATCCCTAGGGAGGTGGTCCCTGGGGAGGTGGTCCCTGGAGAGATCTGGATGGTCTTCCCCCTTGAGGAGGTGAAGGTGGTCCCAGGAGAGATCTGGGTGGCCTTCCCCTTTGAGGAGGTGGAGGTGGTCCCTGGGGAGGTGGTCCCTGGGGAGGCAGTCCCTGGAGAGCTCTGGGTGGTCTTCCCCCTTGAGGAGGTGGAGGTGGTCCCTGGGGAGGTGGTCACTGAGGAGGCAGTCCCTGGGGAGGTGGTCCCTGGGGAGGCAGTCCCTGGAGAGCTCTGGGTGGTCTTCCCCCTTAGAAGGTGGAGGCGGTCCCTGGGGAGGTGGTGCCTGGAGAGATCTGGGTGGTCTTCCCCCTTGAGGAGGTGGGGGTGGTCCTTGTGACTTTCCTGGGGGAGGTGGGGGACCTTGAGGCTTGATGCCTTCTTGTAGGGGTGGTCTCTGCTGAGGCCCATAATCCTGGCTTCTATTACCAGGAGGGGGCTTAGGTGGAAGTCCTCCAAAAGGCAGTCTCTGAGGCTTCTCATCTGAGCTCTGGTTTGAGTCTCCTCCATCTGCTGAAGTGACACCAGAAGAGCCAAGTTCAGTGATAGAAGAACCTCCTCCCTTTATACCTCTCTATCCTTAGCACACTGTCCCTCTTTCCCAGAATGTGCCTGTCAACTACTAACATCCCTTTTGCTCAAGGCTTTGATAGGCAGAGTTCCTTTCATCCATATCTGGGTCATGAAAAGTCTCATTTATTTGTGTGTATGACAAGTACATCTATTTTAAGTTAGCCAAAAAAGAAAAATTTACAAAAAGGTCTTGGATATGTTAGAATCCCCAGATGGGGAAAAAAATTAAAGGATGAGAAACATCAGTCAAGCAGCCAGTTATGATCCCAGCTGCCTCAATAACTTGCTGACTGAACTCCTGGGCACCTGGCTCCAAGACCCAAGTAAAGAAATATGAAGAGAGTGAAGAGAGAGAAGGAAGGCACACACAGGATTCACCGAATAGTGTGGCAAACTTTTATCAGCTATGGTAATGCAGCTGAGTGGGGAAATGCACAAAAATGAGACCCAGACACTAATTTCTTTGCATTTCCAGTGAAGCCGAAGAACTCTGGAGTGGAATGCTGGGGGAGGAGGAAGCAGTTGAGGGGCTGTCAGTATAAGGAGGAGTCAGAATGAGGACGCTGCCCATTTGTCTGTCATCTCCCATCAGGCACTCCTGGCCTGGGGGAAGGTCAACCCACTCCTGTTAGTCATCTAAGCCAAGTATCTTTGCCATTCAATTTGGTTGCCCTGCTCATGGTCCCAGAGTCAAGGTTGCATGAAGATGGCCTGTATCATTGGAGCACTGACATTAACCAATTCCTGAAAGGAAAGTGTTGATAAGAAGACACTGGGGAACTGATCAATTCATCAGCAGAAAAGGAGAGTCAAAACAGATTGAGAATGAACTGGGATTTACCTGATATTAGGGAGGGAGGTTGTTCCTGGCTGACATCTAGAAGAGAAGCACAAGATGATGGGAAAAGTTACATCTGGAATCTTTCAAGACTCACAAGTGTTCTAGAGAAAAAAGGGACTTCTGACCACACCCCATGCATCCCCTGTGTTAACTCGTCAGCTACCATCTGTGAAGCTGCTGGAAGAGGAGGAAGGTGTAAGGGGAGGCAGAGTTGTTACTACACAGAGCAACAGCCATGAACTTGACACAGAAGCACCCCTTTTATTCCTCCCTAGGATCCCTCAAGACTTAATACAAATGTAGTTTACACATGCTAGGTACTTCAATGTGATATTTTGGTATTGTTATGCCCTCATTCTCCTGTAAATATGTTGCTTATGTATCTCTCAAGTCACAAAACACTGAAGTGCTCCTGTGGGCCAGTGCAATGCTGAGTGGCCCAGGGTGAATAAGACACAGCTGATGGCCTGAAGGAGCTCACAAGAACTGGGCAGGCAGCTACAGACACAGCTGAGAGTACTAGCAAGGCGTTATGCCCACAGAGGGAGTGGCCATTTGACTTACTAGGTAAGTCTAGTAGTGAGAGTTTATCTAGTAGTGAGAGTTTGGAAAGGGTACACACAGGGGAGCCTGGCACCCTCTCTGTAGCCATCATAGGAGGGCCTAGAGATGCCCATAATCCATCATCAGTAACCATTTGGCAGCTCCCTGCCTCCCACGTGCTCTCTGAGCCTGGAGAGCTCCTTCTGCCACTATGTTCACTAGCCAGGGACATAACACACACCAGCCAGCAGGTCGTGTGTGTTATATGTTATGTGTTGTTATAATCCCCCAGGGGGATTTTTTTTCTTGAAAAACAATGACAATGATCAATAGCAAAGGGCAAGAATATCCACCTGTTTCCTATCACTTGTTTGGAAAGTAATGAAATATGGTGAAGGCACCATTGTTAAACTTCACATTGCAAGTAAAAGAGTGGTGGGAGAATGTAGCAAGTCAGACATCTAGCTCAAGGCAATTCAGGCATGATTGAGGAGACACAGGAGCCTGTGCATGTACAACACAGATGCAGAAACTAAACTTTTTTCCCACAGGAGATATTCTGGTGATACTGTCAAGCAGCAAGCACACTCATCTAGTCATTCATTAACTCAACCAGCAGGTATTAGCACTGCTGCCCTGTCTGGCCCTGGGGTAGGTCCTGGGGGCACAGGGATAGCGCATTCCCTGGGGTGTTCATCACCCCACTACAGGAAAAGAACTGTGAGCAGACAACTTAGAACATCAGAGTTACAAAGTTCTACCTCTATTAAGAAATTCATGAGTTAATCTTGGCCATGCTAGCCCCAAATCTATGCCCGCCGCACCAATAAAGCAAGCTGCAGAAGGAAGACTACATTTCATCTCTGGGTTGTTCTCCAGCTCATCTGGTCCGCTCTGGTCACTCGCCAGGGCTTTCTTAGAAGTAGCCAAAGTGTCTTGATTGATGATGGCCTGCAGATACGACTTCAGAACATTGACTCACCTCTTACCTTTCAATACCATTCTTATAGTCTAAAGACGACGGGGAGGCATAATACTTAATTCAATTTTGTCATTTTATTTTTGCCTAACTCTCCTCCTAATTGCCAAGACTTTTGTTGTGGGGGAGAAAGAAACATTGATGCAGATATTACCCATTAAAAATGAATCTTAACAATGAAAAGGTTAAAATTACACACATTCTAGAACTGCCCTTCTGAAAAGCAGCATTTAGAAAGAAGGCATCTCTAGATCGATGCATTCAGGACTATCTGGGCATGGCTGCTGCTGCTTCTCTGCACCCCATTCAGCCCATGCCCAAATGGCTCTAGAGAGGGAGCCCATTGATTGGGCCTCTGCGAGGAAGGTGTAGGTAGAGCCTGCACCTATCCTGAGGGGGTGGCTGCAGGATTCAGAAGCTGGCTGTCTCTTCCTCGTGGGAGCCATGGTCATGAGGAATTTAGCTTCTGGGAGGTGACATCCTTAGCTGTCAAATGGGGACAATCTAGTCCCCGACCCTGTCCGACTGCCTGGGATGCACTTAGTGGTCCTCACAGCAGTCCTGGGAGAAGGCACGAGTTATCCCTCCCTTTCACAGAGGAGGACACTGAGAGCTCCTGGGGTATGAAGTAACTTTCCCAAGGGGCAGTAAGTGGGAAGATAAGACTCAGAGCAGGGGTTGGCTCCAGAACCCATGCTTGTTGCTCTGCTTGGGTTGAGAGGAAGAGCACGCTGCAGGGTCATTGCCAGACCAACCGAGTCAGGACTGTGAGAGCCTTGGAGAACAGGACTGGCCGTGAGGACTGCAGTGGGGCATGACGCCGCCGGGCTCAGAGTCTGGAGAGGGGTCTGTGCTGGGAGGATGGAGCCCAGCACCGGGTCATGGAAGCCCCAGCTGGGCTTCTCCCAGAGGAGACTGATTTGGAACAGAGTGACAGTCCCCAGGCTCTGTCCCAATAGGGCACTTGCAGGACCTGAGAGGGAACTCCTGGTGGCCCAGGAGCCATGTGCCAGCATCATAGAGTGTTTTCTTCAGCACTTCTCAACCTTTCTCTAAATTGCCCCAGGAGTGAAAAGGTCAGAGCTGAAGTAGCTGGTGTTCTGGCAACACCGAGTCCATAGGCCACACACAGGTGAAGAATGCGTTTCTCTGTCTTTCATAGGTTCTGCTACGAGGCGCTGTTATCTCTGACACTGGCACCTCTGTGTGGGGCCTCTCTCAGGCGTCTTTTATTTTTATTTTTTTATTTATTTGAGATAGAATCTCATTCTGTTGTCTAGGCTGGAGTATAGTGGCACAATCTTAGCTCACTACAACCTCCACTTCCCAGGTTCAAGAGATTCTCCTACCTCAGCCTCCACTGTAGCTAGGACTACAGGCTAGTTTTTGTATTTAAAAATTTTTTTTTTGATAGAGACAAAGTTTTGCCCCGTTGGCCAGGCTGGTCTCGAACTCCTGACCTCAAGTAATGCACCTGTCTCAGCCTACCAGAGTTCTGGGATTACAGGTGTAAACCCCCCATGCCCGACCATCAGGCATCTTTTAAATGTTGACCCGCTTTCCCTCCTGTCCTGAAAGGCCAGGAGCTTGGAGCTTTCCTGAGGAGGGGCGGAAAGGGGACAGGCTTCTAGCTTTGAGTCACAGGGGCCACCTGGGCTCCCCTGCCAGTGACCAGGCAAGGCCACCTGGCCTGCCCCCTGCCCTGCAGATGGATGGAGCGACCACCTGCTCTTAACAGGGACTTAGAGCTTTCACTTCTTTTCAGGAAACTGCTTTGTTCCCTCCTATCTACTTGGCTGAAACCTGCCTTAGCCATGTTGGAAAGGTACGTCTTTCTTCTTAGTCTTTTGAAAAACAGAATAACTTCTGTTAAGAACAATACATGTGGCTATTTATACAACTTCAAGTTCTCATGTGGGCAGTGGGAAAGAGGAGGTACATGTTTGGGGTAGGAAGGCACAGCTGGCTAAACTGCAACCTCCCCACTCGCTGTCTGCTGGCCCTCTCTGAGTGGCTAGGAGTTCCTGGGAGGGGCCACTTAGCTGAAATGTCTCCATGTGCCAGAAAAGTTAAGTAACTCCAGCATCTGACATGAGTGCTACTATGATCTGAATGTTTGTGTCCCATACCCCCAATTTCACATTCAGGCCTTGAACAGATAAATAGCTCAGTGGAAGCAGCATTCAGAGACTGCAGCCTGGCAGCCAGACAGAAGGGGAAAGCAGTCTAGAAACTCAACAGGGAGATGGTGTAATTCAGGTATGCGGCGTGAATAACCTGGTGAATATGTGCACCTAGAACCCCTTGACCTGCCAAAAGTCCATGTTATTACTCAAGAGAAATAGCTAAGAGGGGTGTGGCTTAATCAGTGCAAACATCCATCACCAGCACTGAAAGTCAGAAATCCTGAGCACGTTGGGCCTTCCGGATTGTAGCTGAGTGCATGGAGCAGCAGCTGAAAGCTACCACCCAGGATGGAATCAGGTACTTCATCTATGCTTACAGAATTTATTTATGTATTTATTTACTTTTAAGACAGAGTCTTCCTCTGTCACTCAGGCTGGAGTGCAGTGACATGATCATGGCTCACTGCAGCCTCAACCTCCTGGGCTCAGGTGATCCTCCCGCCTCAGCCTTCTGAGTAGCTAGGACCATAGCAGTGTGCCACCACACCCAGCTGATTTTTAAAACTTTTTTTTTGTGCAGAGACAGGATCTCACTACATTGCCCAGGATGGTCTCAAACTCCTGGGCTCAAGCGATCCTCCTGCCTCAGCCTTCCAAAGCGCTAGGACTGCAGGCGTGAGTCATTGTACTGGCCCCGAATTAATTTTTTTCCATTGAAACCTACTTTTGAGTTTGGAGATCTGCGAGCAGGCTGGAAAACCTTCCAGAGCATTAAGAAGCCATAGCTTAAATTTCTTACTAAATAGCCGCACAGATTTCAGGTACTGAATAGAAACATCTTCCAAGAAGTCATGAAGGAGAACGTCTTCAATTCCCTACAACGAAAGTATCAAGACACTATGGTTCTACTGATGGTGCACATGTGATCAAAGCTCACCCACGCCACAGGGACAGGGCGTGTGTCAACAAGTCTGAGAGCCGGTTCCCACGCAGTCTGAGGGGACCGCACCATGCAGTTCCGCCACTGCTTCTCTTGCAGGATGTCAGGCTGGTGCAGCCACAATTGGAATTTTTTTCAAATGTTTTTAAAAGATTGATAACTGATTCAAATTAAACACACACACACACACACACACACACACATTGCTGGCCAGTACTAAGTGGGTCAAACCAAACGTATTTAAGGGCTGAACCCAGCTTCCAGTTTTCAATGTTTGTATTACAAACTTGGAAGTACCAGATGATTTTTTTTTAAATAAAAGGTAAGGCTTATGACTTGATGAAGGAGAACACATTTTTAAACAGAAAAGATATAGACCTGACCCTCCAAATACAATCACGTTAGAGATACAGCTTCAAGCAAAGTGAAGCAAAACAAAACAAAAACCCTGAGGTTATACCTATTACAAAGCAATTACTCCAATTAGTCATTTTAGAACGTCTTTTTTTTTTAACAGAAATTCCCAGAGAAAGAACATTGACTAATTTGGACTTCACTGGTATGAAACCATAGGTTGCTATGTGCATTGGCTTTTGGTTTCCATGAGCTAATTCACAAAGGAAAACTGAATGTTAGGCAGAGATCAAAGGGCTCCTGGTCCACACACCCCTCTATTCACTCCTCAGGGGACCATGGAGACGGCAGAGAGCTGGAGCTGTGGGTCCAAACCCAGCATTTGCTGCCAATTTCTGCAACAGATATAACCCAGAGACTCACGCGTCTTCCTGCCTTGTACAGCTGGGCGTCATAGCACTTGAAGAGCTGGCACACGTCAGGCAATGACATCAGCATGACTGTGTCTTGTGGCCGAGACTTCCAGAACGAAGTAAGCAAGTCCTCTACCTGGGGTAAGTAACAGAGAAAATCACCAAAACTCATGCTGCACCTCTCAAGACTAACCACCTCCCCTAGATACTTCCTTAGCCCCAGATGACAATGGGATGAATTTTGTTCCAGTGCGTGTAAAGCTTTGCCTCTCAGCTTTTCTAAGCTGTATTTTGGAAGCATTCTTTCCAGTAACCTGTCTGAGAGTGCCTGCGAGTTGGATGGGATAATATAGAACGTTATTAAAATTTTCCTAAGGCAGTTTCCAGAAGGGAAGCTGTTTCTGACCACAAGGGGGCTTCAGTTGACTACTAGGATGGGGACTGGGCCACAGGGCACAGCTGAGAGAATGTTCATTGACTGACTGACTGACTGACTGCCTCAATCATTTTTCAGCCCAGAGGGAGGTGTGATAGTACTTAATCTAAGAGACCTCCTCCTGCCATCAGGTTAGAAGTCACCTAACTACTGTAGAAGAAAAGGGGACTGATGCGGTTCTACACAGCAGCCTTCTCTAAAGACTTATGTGGACAGCTTCGTGGAGGATCAAAATGGCGGCTCCTCTTTTCTGTTTTTTCCCATGTTGACTCTTCGGTTTCCGTTCTTGAACCAGGTGGCCAATCTGCGTTGCAGCCAATAAAGACTCTTGCCTGTTTGGGATGTGCTATGAGGCATCAGAGCTTTGTCTTACCTCCCTGGCTCTGGTGCTAGGACCTGCCAGTGACACCAGACACGGTACTGGCCCCATGAGTAGGTTGTCAAGGAAGAAGTTAGAGTCAGCTACTGAATTACATGGCCATAGGCCCTGATTTAAAACCCTGTTATCAGGGCCATTAATTCTAGAGAAAACTTCTCCAAAGAGACTCCGAGAAATGCAACACAGGGCGTAGCAATCCCTTTTCTCTCAGGCTGGGAACCTTGGTGTGTGGCGCTTTGGGGAAGGGGGTCCGAGTGGAGCCACCCCCACAGACCCATCTCTGCTCATCCCCCACCACAGGACGCCAAACCCTGTTGTGCCTGCCTCTGAAATATTTCTCCTGCCTGCCCCCATTTCTCTCTGATATCGCTGTTACTGCCACAGATCCGACCCTTGTCGCTTCTCACCTCAACTATGACAAAACCTCCTCACTGCCTTTCTGCTCCATGAAGGCCAAGCCCTGTTATCACTGCTCCCACATTGCCTTCTCAATGAGTCAGAGTTTTTTGGGGGGCATCCAACTCCCTTTCTGGTATCAGCCTACTTTCCCACCTCCCCTCTGGCTTCTCTTCTTTAGAAATAATAAAATCGGCTGGCGGTGGCTCACGCCTGTAATCCCAGCACTTCGGGAGGCTGAGGCAGGTGGATCACGAGGTCAAGAGATCGAGACCATCCCCATCTCTATTTAAAAAAAAAATTAGCTGGGTGAGCCGAGATTGCGCCATTGCACTCCAGCCTGGGTAACAAGAGCAATACTCAGTCTCAAAAAAAAAAAAAAGAGAAATAATAAAATCTAGGCCAGGCATGGTGGCTCATGCCTGTAATCCCAGCACTTTGGGAGGCTGGGGCAGGTGGATCACCTGAGGCCAGGAGTTCAAGACCAGCCTGGCCAACATGTTGAAACCCATCTCTACTAAAAATACAAAAAATTATCCAGGCATGATGGCGCATGCTTGTGGTCCCAGGTACTCGGGAGGCTGAGGCACTTGGACGACAGCATTTTGTTTGTTTGTTTCTATAAAGTAATGCAGACCTTCTAGGGTAATAGTTCATGTATGCCTTTCATTTCGATGTTGTAACTCATATTTGCAGATTTGTTCTACCACTACAAAGGCCACCAAACTTTGACACCTTTTTCTCTAACTTCAATTCCCCACCTCCATAATCCTCAGCCCTAATTTCTAGAAAATCCGTGTATCTGTTCCTTTTTTAGTCTTGGGGAAGAAACAGTCCCAGGAGGAACCTTGCTATTGGATGTGATAGGGAGCCCTGAACTTCCTGAGCACCATCAAGCCAGGGAAGATTGCTGGCCCTCACTGTCCCATAAAGGCAAATAAAATTCCATGTGACACAACCATGGCCACAGGCACAAAAGGAAGCTATTTACCGCCCTATGCATCACACAGCATGAAAGGCTAAGCTCTCCCATGAGTGTAAATCTACCATTTTATGGGAGTATTTCTTTGCCAGTTCTTGCTCCCAAAATGGACATCTCCTGAATTCAGACAAAGGGGATCCAACTGGGTCTGTCTTCATCGGTGAATGATCTTCACACTAAAATTCATTTTTGCAGTGGATTATGTCTTTAAAGTCAAATACATTATTTTCTGGCATATAAATCATCTTATGATCTCACTACTCTAAGTTAATATTGTATATAACCTTCTAGCCACACCTCTGCACACATTACCAATTCCAGCAGCTTTCCCCTCATATTTTATTCCAAATGCTGCTAATTTTCATCTGTAATTCTATGAACAATGGCCATCAGGAAAGGGTTAGGATTTAATATATTATCCAAATGTATGACTCTTGGGGTCATCTATTTACAAATCCTGTATAGCAATGTATAATAAGACTATTATCTATGAGTTATTTTCTATCCGTGTGATAGAAAATAACTCACAGATAATAGTCTTATTATACATTGCTATTCTAGCAATGTATTCAGCAATTTCTACTCTGTCTTCTACACAGAGTAGAAACTCGGTCTCTACTAAAAATAAGAAAAATTAGATGAGCACGGTGGTGGACACCTGTAATCCTAGCTACTCCAGAGGCTGAGGCAGGAGAATCACTTGAACCCAGGAGGCAAAGGTTGCATTGAGCTGAGATCACACCACTGCACACCAGCCTGAGTGACAGTGTGAGACTCCATCTCAGATTAAAAAAAGAAAATAAGCCAATCATGTCAACATTATTATTATTATGGTCCCTTACGGCCATACATTTCTCAGTGTAAATTAAAATGCTAATTTAAGAGGGATGAGGAATATTCTCACACATCCTGTCATCCACATTTTTAGTATTAAACTTAATTCTAGCTGATTTGGGCCTCGTGAAGCCTTGGTTTATCTTATTCTCAGTGTCCAGGTTCTAACCTCTACTGTTCTTCCATTGTTGACCTTCCCTTGCCAGGCCTATCTTAACAGCTGAACCCTGGGCTTCTGTTTCTGTATCTTTTCTTTTCTTTTTTTTTTTTTTTTTTTTTTGAGACAAGAGTCTCACTCTTGTTTCCCAGGCTGGAGTGCAATGGCACCATTCTGGCTCACCTCCCGGGTTCAAGTGATTCTCCTTCCTCAGCCTGACGTGTAGCTGGGACTACAGGCGCATGACACCATGTCCAGCTAATTTTTGTACTTTTAGTAGAAACTGGGTTTCACCATGCTAGCCAGGATGGCCTCGATTACCTCGTGATCCGCCCCCCTGGGTTTCCCGAGGTGCTGGGATTACAGGCATGAGCTACCGCACCCAACCTGTTTCTCCATCTTTAACTGTGTTGTTTTAGGCTCTTGGGTAAAACCCTGTCAACTCAGTCCCCAGGTTTCTTGAGCCACAGTGACGCCCCTGAAGTTTGTGCTCTCTGAATGCCCCAGAGCTGGAAACCTGGCAGCTTTTGCACATAAAATTCCTTTTTTATAAAAGTGTTCGGCCGGGCGCGGTGGCTCAAGCCTGTAATCCCAGCACTTTGGGAGGCCGAGGCGGGTGGATCACGAGGTCAAGAGATCGAGACCATCCTGGTCAACATGGTGAAACCCCGTCTCTACTAAAAATTACAAAAAATTAGCTGGGCATGGTGGCGCGTGCCTGTAATCCCAGCTACTCAGGAGGCTGAGGCAGGAGAATTGCCTGAACCCAGGGGGCGGAGGTTGCGGTGAGCCGAGATTGCGCCATTGCACTCCAGCCTGGGTAACAAGAGCGAAACTCCGTCTCAAAAAAAAAAAAAAAAAAGTGTTCAGGCCAGGCATGGTGGCTCACACCTGTCATTCCAGCATTTTGGGAGGCCAAGGCTGGCGGATCTTCAGATCAGGAGTTTGAAACCAGCCTGACCAACATGGTGAAATCCCATCTCTACCAAAGATACAAAAATTAGCTGGACATGGTGGTGTGTGCCTGTAATCCCAGCTACTCAGGAGGCTGAGGCAGGAGAATCGCTTGAACCCAGGAGATGGAGGTTGCAGTGAGCTGAGATCGCGCCACTGCACTCCAACCTATGCAACAGAGCGAGACTCCATCTCAAATAATAATGATAATAATAATAATTTCCCACTAGTACATACTAACAGCTATGAGATACTGATTTTAAAGACTGTTTTAATGAAAGCAAATAAAGAACAGTGCCTTATGAGCCAATATTTAAAGAAAGCTGAGAGCATTATGAAAAATTTTATTTTTATTGGTTGGTAATTATACCTGGATGGCTCATGAAATTATTGTCACATCATTGGTTTTATTATTCCCTCAGGAATTCCTTCTTTATTTTAAATGTGTTTTATGCACTGAGTGCATTTAGTGTCTCCTCTGTTAGACAATTACAACACTGTACACACACAGAGCTATGTAGTGTGCCTATTTTAACTGCAGATTAGCTTCCTAGGAAGAACTGTGTTGGTATCCTTTTCCATTTAGAGTCAAAAGGAGTCTGCTGGCAGTCCTTTACAAAGAGCTGTTGAGATGACTGAATCTTTCTGAGCCAAGTCTTCACATCTCTATTTTGTTGCTTTAATTTGAATAATTATGAAAGATGGATTACTTTTTTAAAGACAGACTCTCACTCAGTCACCCAGGCTGGTGTGCAGTGGCACCATCATGGCTTACTGCAGCCTATATCTCCCTGACTCAGGTGATCCTCCCACCTTAGCCCCCCAGGTAGCTGGGCCTACAGGCTCCAACTACCATGCCTGGCTAATTTTTGTATTTTTTGTAGAGATGGGGTTTTACAATGTTGCCCAGGCTGGTCTCGAACTCCTGAGCTTAAGTGATCCTCCCACCTTTATTTCCCAAAGTATAAGGATTACAGGCATGAGCTACTGTGCCCAGCCAAAAAAGACTGAAATCTTTTATTTCTGATAGAGACCTCAAACAGCTCGCTGTATAGGCCTGACCCCAGCTTGCCTTTTTATTTCCTGCATTTTTTGTCTGTTGCTCTTTAGAGAAACTGTATGATATGAATGAATGAATGAATGAATGAATGAATGTGTGTGTGCACATACATATATCTTCATTCAAAAGCTATATAGCACATGTATGTTTGTGTGTATGTGTATATATGTGCATTTACATACGTATACACACACACACACACACACACATACACAAAGCTATAGAAAATATATATCTTGTGACTAAAATTCTCTGAACTACCAGTAACTCCAGAAATCCTATTCTGGAAAACAATGGGTAACATCTAATTCATTATCTTTGAATTTTCACAAAAGGAATATGAAAATGTGGTTTCTACTGCAATGTAGTTCAGATGGGTATTCTCAGAGGCCATGGTTCCAAGAAATTTGTTTGACAACTGTATTGAGTAAAATATTTCTCCACTTTCTTTATTTTTTTCCCTCGCAAAAAAATTTAGAGAAATGTGTTATTCTTCCTCAAGTTCTCTTTTTCCTGGCTTACATAGTATGTTACTAGCAGAACTTTCTCTAAAATGAAAGAAAGTCATTGCTAAAAAGAGACAAAAAGTTAACAGGATTAGGGAATAAAAAGGCACATAGAATTGCTGGGTATGTCCAGAATCTGAGAAGATTTGAGAAGAGGAGCAGCAAGAATTTTTGTATTTTAGAATTTGAGGGGCCCTTCTGGCCTAGTTTGAAAAACACAATCAGGCCGGGCGCAGTGGCTCATGCCTGTAATCCCAGCACTTTGGGAGGCCAAGGCAGGTGGATCACAAGGTCAAGAGATGGAGACCATCCTGGTCAACATGGTGAAACCCCGTCTCTACTAAAAATACAAACAATTATTAGCTGGGCATGGTGGTGCGTGCCTGTAATCCCAGCTACTCAGGAGGCTGAGGCAGGAGAATTGCCTGATCCCAGGAGGCGGAGGTTGCAGTGAGCCGAGATTGCGTCATTGCACTCCAGCATGGGTAACAAGAGTGAAACTCCCTCTCAAAAAAAAAGAAAACACACAATCAGATTAAAAATTGAAAAAAATTCGGTAAGATCTAGTGGGAAGATAAGCTAGAATCTTGTTACCAAAAGGGTCACAGGCCTTGATTATATATTTCAAATTAACTTCTTAATTTCATATCAAAATGCATAGATACCCTCTTACCCCCTGTTCTTGCCCTCCTCCATTTCCTTGTTTCTGGCATGTGCTACGTCCGGAGCTGCACAAGGGTTCAAAGACCTAAGAGGGAACGTTGGAAGATAAAGAAAGACACAAATGTAACATAGAGAAAGGTGGGCCAGGCAGTCGGGGAGAGTGAGATGTCAGTCTCTCCAGCCCCAACCTGTCTCAGAGTACTTTATTTTATATGTTTACAAAGCACATAGCAGAGGGAGGGTGCAGTTACCCAGAACAGCCTGTGGTTATAATTCTCATACTTCAGTTAACATACTTCAGCTAACAACTATCTTGCAGCAAGGTCAGCGAAAGCTGGTTATCTCTCTAGGTCCTTCTGCTCTTCTCTGAGACATACACATTCTCCTATTATTGTTTCACTTCTCTGGAGTTCACCCAAAGTTCACAACAGCCTTGCTGCTGTTCCTCCCAGAGCGGGTGGGGTACTCTGGCTCTCCACACTTGTTAAATCCTGACCTTTCTCTGTAGCCCCTCCCATTTCCACCCTGGAGGTCTGGCTCTCAGAACTACTCCCAGGTTGCCTGGGTCTCCAAGGTAGCACCCATTAGCCATGTTGTTTCTGGGCAGGGCATCTGTTTCTGTGCAAAGAGAAAATGCTATGGTGAGTCACCAGTTCTCCTTTCCTAACAAAAGAACATTGTACTGTGCTGTTTGATTTGGGCTCTTGTGTGCAACTTGTGATTGTAAACTAATGGGGCCACGAGGCACAGCTCCAGTGACACACCTCTCAAGTTGCATTATAATGATCTGATTAGGACGTGCAGCATTAGACTGTGAGACCCTTTAAGCCTAGGATGCTTTTAATTTTGTGTTGCCAGCCCTAGGCACACTGTGCCTAGCTCAGGGTAAGTGCTAAACAAACGTCTTTTGATGAGAATACTACAGGAGGAAGGGAAGGGTTGTGCTGTACACCAAGAGTGGAAGAGCTACACTTTAAGAAACAGGCTCACCTTCGTGTGGCCTGCAGAGGGCGCCCTTGCATCATAGCTATATCGTGCATCCATTGCCCATCTACGGTTTCCTTGAGCGTACCTTTTCGGTAAAATCACAGGTAGTGAGACTGCCTGGAAATCTGGACTTAAACCTGCCCAAACACATTAGGATATCATTAGTTGCACAGAACACTATAGTTAGTCCAAAGGCACAAGAACATTCCAGAATTTGCATAAAGAATACTAAGCCGTGACATCTCAGAAAGTCAAACCTAAGGAAGAAAAGTTGCCTATTTAGTCTTCTGTTTTAATAATTCTTAAATTGGAAGGCTCCTTATACTTACTTGACGAGCAGTTCAACTAATCCAGCTACTGCATTTCTCAGATGAGGAAACAGGTTTATAAAACTGGTCCTTTAGACTACTCAAGGTGATATATCCACAGAAAAATTATACTCTCAATTCGGGCTTTAGATTTGTGTTGAGAACGTGTGGCAAAGTGTCCATTTGGAAAAAATGCACTTAAAGCCCTCTCTCTCCCTCTTCTTATTTAAATAGAAAGATTTAAAAATAAAAATATGGCCAGTGATGGCAGCTCATGCCTGTAGTTCTAGCACTTTGGGAGGCCAAAGTGTGAGGATTGCTTGAGCCCAGGAGTTCGAGACCAGCCAGCACAACATAGTGAGACCCAGTCTCTGCAAAAATGGAAAATTAGCCAGGTATAGTGTCATGGGCCTATAGTCTCAGATACTCAGGAGCCTGAGGTGGGAGGATAGCTTGGGCCCAGGATGTCAAGGCTGCAGTGAGCCGTGAATCACACCACTGCACTCCAGCCTGGGCAACAAAATGAGATCCTGTCAAAAAAAAAAAAGGTACCGTAATAACTGCTGAATAAAATACATAAGATTTTAGAAAGACACTATTTTAATGGTGAATCTGGACAACACTTGAAGGGTACTTTTTAAAAGGTTGGAAGTAGGCTTTTAACATATTATGGGCAGAATCAATTGTGTAATAAATGATATAGAAGTAAAAAATGTTGGTTAGTCAAACTGACCGTCAAATTGAGAGCCAAAAAGCCATTAAGTTATGATTCCGGACAAGGCTCTGATTGCCACAGATCAGAGAAGTTATCTGACATCTTTTTCACATTGGAAAGCTTAAAAAACAAATCCAAACCCAGATCCCCAAACCCTCAAAGCATCAAGTGCTTAAAGCATTTCTAATATACCTTCCGCATCAACCCTCACCTCCTTCTTGCTTCAGAGAAACCATGACCCTCCTCCAGGCTGTTTCTTAATCAGCACCCGCCTCCCTTCCCCGGGTGCCTCCTATTTATAGGCAGTCATAACTGGACTATTTTGGTTGTGTTGAGGCTGGCAGGAAAGAAGAACAAGGATAGCATGTTCATGTGGTGTGAGTGGTCTTGGCTTCTGGGGAAGTTGGGGGAAAGGGCTGTCCTGTGGCCCTTTGAGAGGCCCACTCAGAACCTTGCCCAGCTCTAAGGGCTAAAGCAGCTCTGAGTGGTAGCACTTTACTTTTGTCAGTATTAGAGGCCCTACTTGGGGAAAAGAACAGCAGAAAAGCAGCCCTCAAAGAAATGCTACCATGGGACATGGCCTCAAGAGAGGAGCCTCAGCCTGAAATGAGTTGGGGTGTGGCCTTGAAGAAAGGAAAGGGGCCCAGAAGAGAGACCCTGGCTTCAAGGGTCAGGAGGAAGGCAGATGGTTTGTTGGAAGGAAGCCACTCAGGATTCTTTGGAAAGTGAGGACAGTGAACATGGAGATTAAGGACTCTTAAACAGGGCAAGTTACAGGAATTCTCCCCTGTAACAGCCAATGGAAAGGGAAGGACCTGAGCACTCTCCTGGCCTCTCAAGTTTGCAGATGCCTGGAGATCACTGGGAGATCTTGTTTAAATGCAGAATCTGATCCAATAAATCCAGAATCCTGCCTCAGATTCTGGATGTCTACCAAGCTCCCTGGTAAGGCTACAGGTTCTTAGGCCCCACTTTCAGAAGCAAGGGTGTCTTCTAGACTTCAGAATAGAAAAAGTTGAACAATAGAGACTATGTACCAGATAGTCACCTAGGGGCAAATTCTTCCAGCTCCAGTTCAAATCCAAGGTTGTCCTTGCAGATTCCTAGGTAGTAAAAGGACCTGAGGGGTTCAATTATTGGGCAAGGAAGGAAAAGAATCCCAGATTTAGGAACCCCTCATCAATTTCCCTTGGGGGTGGGAAGAAGAATGGCTGGTTTTTCATTAGGTGGGGGGGCCAAGATCACCAATAATCAGGGAGATCTGGTGAGGTAGAGGAAGATGCCCGCAAGAAAGGCCCTGGAGGGCCTGAAGCAGCTGCTGAATTCTCTATAGGCAGCTTTTCGCATGCTACCTGGAGGAGGCCACTGGGAGGTTTTGAAAGAAGACACTAGGTTACTCCACATTAGCACTTGCCAAACTAGATGACCTGGTGAGAGAAGTTGCTAATTGTAATAGAAGCAGAATGTTATCAGTACTGAGTTTAAAACAGTTTTCCAAGGGGAAATGAGGACAGGCCTATGCAGCTGAAAAGCACTAGGTGTTGGCTTTGCAAAAAGCTTAGGTATACTTATGAACAGGGTTGCCAGGTGTTCTGTGTTGAACTGGACAGTGTGGTATTTTAGCTTCTGGTGGATGAAAATGCAGTAAATGCCTGTTTTGTTTTGTTTTTGAGACGGAGTCTGGCTCAGCTGCCCAGGCTGGAGTGCAGTGGCACAATCTTGGCTCACTGCAATCTCCACCTCCTGAGTTCAAGTGATTCTCCTGCTTCAGCCTCCTGAGTATTTGAGACTACAGGCACACAGCACCACACCCAGCTAATTGTGGTAATTTTAGTAGAGACGGAGTTTACCAAGTTGCCCAGGATGATCTCAATCTCTTGACCTCATGATCTGCCCACCCTGGCCTCCTAAAGTGCGGGGATTACAGGTGTGAGCCACCGTGCCTGGCCAGTAAATGCCTGTTTTTTTTTTTGGGGGGGGGGGGTGGGGAGGAAGGCAGGAAGGAAGGGAATAAGGACGGTAGGGAGGAAGGAAGGGATGAAGGAAGGAAGGAAGGGAGGAAGCGGGGAGGGAGGGAGGGAGGGAAGGGAAGAAAGGAAATCAAGCAATGAAAGAGACATTGCCGACCTGGATCTAGAGGTTTACAAATTGATTTTTTTTTGAGAGAAGGAAAGAAAAAAAAATAATAATAAGTAAAGGAGAGGAAGAAAGAGGAAGAGAAAGAGGGAGAGTAAATGGAAATATTGCTTTATTTTGAAAAAAATTGGGTATTAATAATGGCCAATCAATGTTTCATTTAAACTTATGGGTAGGTGTGATGTGGTATTGACAAGAATATATATTTTGTGTAATTGAAGTGGAGAGCTCTATAAATATTTATTAAGTTTACTTGTTCTGGATCTGAGTTCGAGTCCTTGATATCCTTATTAATTTTCTGTCTCATTGAATCTAAGTCTCCTATCTGGGTGTTAGGATCGTTAGCTCTTGTTGTTGCATTGATCCTTTTACCACTATATCTTTGTTGCTTTAAAATCTATTTTATCCGATACAAGAATTGCAACTCCTGCTTTTTATTTATTTATTATTTACTTTTGCTCTCCATTTGGTTGGTAAATCTTTCTCCATCCCTTTGTTTTGAGTCTTTGTGTATCCTTGCATGTGAAACAGGTCTGGATGTAACATGCCATTGGGTTTTAGCTGTGTCTTTTGATTGGGAATTTAGTCAATTTAAATTTAGGGTTACTGCCATTTGATGTTGACTGGCTGTTTTATCCATTTGTTGGTGTAAATTCTTCTTTATGTTGGTGCTCTTTACTTTTTGGTGTATTTTTAGAAAGGCTAATACTGGTTGTTTCTTTCTGTGTGTAATGCTTGTTTCAGAAGCTCTTGTAAAGCAGGCCTGGTGGTAATAAAATCTCTGAGTACTTGCTTTTTCATAAAAGATTTTATTTTTCCTTCAGTTGTGAAGCTTAGTTTGGCTGGATATGAAATTCTGGGCTGAAGGTTCTGTTCTTTGAGGATGTTGAATATTGGCCCCCACTCTCTTCTGGCTTGTAGAGTTTCTGCCGAGAGATCTGCTGTAAGTCTGATGGGCTTGCCTTTGTGGGTAATCTGAGCTTTCTCTCTGGCTGCCCTTAGTATCTTCTCCTTCATTTCAACCCTGGTGAATCTAACGATTATGTGCCTTGGGGTTGCTCTTCTTGAGGAATATCTTTGTGGTGTTCTCTGTATTACCTGGGGTTGAATGTTGACCTGCTTTGCTAGTTTAGGAAAATTTTCCTGAATAATATCCTGAAGGGTATTTTCCAGCTTGGATTCATTCTCTCCATCGCATTCAGGTACAACTATCAAACGTAAATTTGGTCTTTTCACATAGTCCCACATTTCTTGGAGACTTTGCTCATTCCTTTTTATCCTTTTTTCTCTAATCTTTTCTTCATGTTTTATTTCATTAAGTTGGACTTTGACCTCTGATATCCCTTCTTCTGCTTGAACAATTCGAGTGTTTAAACCTGCGCATACTTCTCGGAGTTCCTGTATTGTATTCTTCAGTTCCATTAATTCACTCATACTCCTCTCTAAGTTGTCTATTCTCAATAGGATTTCATCAAACCTTTTTTCAAAGTTCCTAGTTTCTTTACGTTGGGCTACAACATGTTCTTTTAACTCCCCGAAGTTTGTTATTATCCATTCCTTGAAGAGTGATTCTGTCATCAGGAGGCGCTCGTTCTCCATCAAGCCTTGTTCCATTGTTGATGTGGAACTGTGATCATCTTTAGAGGGAGGGGCGTTCTGCCTTTGAGTATTCTCAGCTTTTTTACGCTGGTTTCTTCCCGTCATTGTAAATTTATCCTCCTGTCGTCTTTGAAATTACCAACTTTCAGATTAGGTCTCTTGAGTGGACGTCCAGGTTGTTAGTTCTCAGAGCCAGAGCAGCAGTGTTAAAACTGATGGTGCTTTTCTGCCCAGGATTCTCCTGTCGGGCTTCCTTCTTGTTTCCGTCGTAGGCGACTCTGCCTTCCCGGGGCTCCAAACCTCGGTCAGAAGGGGAACCGGTCCCGTTTACTCTGCGCCGAGCGCTGCCGCTTCGAGGTGCCGGCGGAACCGCTGCGCCGACCACGAGCCGCACTGGCAACTCGTGTGTTTCCACCACTGGGGGATCTTCTGCTTCGTGAGCGACCAGACTTTGTCTGAAAGTGTGGCGTCCTCTAGTTCTCCGCGCCTTCCCTGAGAGCTGCAATCCCGGGATGTTACCGATCGGCCATCTTGGATTGTTCTCCAATGCCTGTTTTTAAAAAAATAATTATTATTACAGTCAGGCGGGGTGGCTCACACCTATAATCCTAGCACTTTGGGAGGCCAAGGCGGGCAGATCACGAGGTCAAGAGATCGAGACCTTCCTGGCCATCATGGTGAAACTCTATCTCTACTAAAAATATAACAATTAGCTGGGCATGGTGGTGCATGCCTGTAGTTCCAGGGGCTGAGGCAAAAGAATCACTTGAACTCAGGAGGTGGAGGTTGCAGTGAGCCAAGATCATGCAAAAAAAAAAAAAAAAAAAAAAAAGAAAGAAAAAGGACTGGGTGCAGTGGCTCAGGCCTGTAATCCTCATAATTTGGGAGGCCAAGGTGGGCAAATCACAGGGTCAGGAGTTTGAGACCAGCCTGGTCAACATGGTAAAACCCCATCTCTACTAAAAATACAAAAAATTAGCTGGGTGTAGTGGTGGGTACCTGTAATCCCAGCTACTTGGGAGGCTGAGGCAGGACAATCACTTGAACCCAGGAGGCAGAGGTTGCAGTAAGCCACAATCACACCACTGCACTCCAGCCCTTGTGACAGAGTGAGACTGTATCTCAAAAAAAAAAATATATATATATATATATTATTTCACATGTGCTTTATCTTACATTTTGATTGATTTTTAATAATCAGTCGTTTGTAATTTCAGCTTTTAATTATTCTGCTGCTCAGTATTGAATGGACAAACACTACTGAAAACAGCCTTATACTTCTTTTGAAATGTGAGGAACTATTTATCTGTGTGCAAGTAACATGTTCCAACACTACTATTAAGAATTCTGTTAAATAAAGGACAGGTCTATCCCTTAGGAGGGGAGGGTACACTCTACAAGAAGTTTTTTCTTCCAGTCTCTATGGGGTGGATATTTTTGTAATCTATTTTGGATGAAGCAGGGAAAATATAGTCATCTCTGAGGCAATGATAAGAGCTAACATGTATTGAGGGTTTACCATGTGCCTGACAACATGGGCACTCTACATCTTCCACCTCCTTCCTCACAGAGATCCCATGAGGAGGAGGCTCCACTTCTCTTCATTTTACAGAAGAGTAAACATGCTCAGAGAGATTCAGCATTGAAGCCCCAAGCCTGGAAGGTATCCTTTATTTCTGTTTTCTTCTTAGGCCCCTTCTCCAATTTATTAACAAGTTCTATCAGCCATAACTCCAAAATACATTTTTAAATTATGACCTTTTTCTCCTACCCTAACTCAAGTCCTCATTATCTTGCTTGGATGTTGCATTAGCCTCCAAATTTCCCCCCTGGGGCCACTCTTACCCTTAATACCATCTTCCTTCCACACAATGGCTAGAGTGGGGTTTTGTTTTGTTTCTGTTTTTGTTTTTTTGAGGCAGCGTCTAAGACTGTTGCCCAGGCTGGAGTGCAGTGGTGTGGTCATAGCTCACTGCAGCTTCAGTTTCCTGGGCTCAAGTGGTCCTCTTACTGCAGCCTCTCAAGCAGCTTAGGCTATAGGTACACACCTGGCTAATTTTTAGTAGGGATGTGGTACCACTGTGTTTCCTAGGATGGTCTTTTTTTTTTTTTTTTTTTTTTAGAGATGGAGTCTTGCTCTTTTGCCCAGGCTGGAGTGCAGTGTCGTGATCTCGGGTCACTGCAACCTACACCTCTGGGGTTCAAATCATTCTCCTGCCTCTCAGCCTCCTAAGTAGCTGGGACTACAGGCGCCCACCATCACATCTGGCTAATTTTTGTATTTTTAGTAGAGATAGGGCTTCACCATGTTGGCCAGGCAGGTCTCGAACTGCTGACCTCAGGTGATCTGCCTACCTTGGACTCCCAAAGTGCTAGGATTACAGGCGTGAGCCACCACACATGGCTGCTAGGCTGGCCTTGAACTACTGGCCTATAGTGATCCTCCTGTCTCAGTCTCCCAAAGTGTTGCGATTACAAGCATGAGCCACCACTCCTAGCTCACAGTGATCTTTCTAAACTATACATCAGATATTGTACTCTCCAATGGCTTCTCTTCATATTTACAACAAAACCCAGTCTTTTCCAGGACTTACAAGGCCTTACATGATCTGGCTCCCCATTGCTGCATGCAAACTCTTTGTTCATTCATTCAACCAATATTTACTGAGGGTCTGCTGTGTGCCATGCACTCTTATAGCTGCTAGCATATTGCTCGTGTACAGAGCTCACATCCTAGTGACAGGAGACAGTAATCAAAGAAATACAATGTGTGTCAGGTGGCAATAAGTGGTATGGAGAAAAATGAAGTGGGAAAATAGACTAGGGAATGCTGTGTGGCAGTGAGGGGCCACCATTTGTAATAGGATGGCCAGGAAGGCCTTCTCAAGAAGGTGACATCTGAGCAGAAACCTGAAGGAGAGGAAGGAGTGAGCCAAGTAGACTTTGGAGGAAAAACATTCCAGGCAGAGGGAAAAGCAAATGCCAAGGTACTAAGGAAGAGACGAGTTTGGTGTGTTTGAGGAATAGCAAGGAGGCTGATGTGGCTAGAGCAGAGAGTGCAGGCAGAAGTCAGAGAGGGCTTGGCCATGCGTTGGGGAGAGGGCAGACCTGTAGGAATGTATTGGCTCCTAACCAAGGGACTTGGACTTGGACTAAGTAGGTGGGAAGCTAGGGAGGGGATGTAACCAGAGCAGTGATATGATTGTGTAGATGGACAATGTGACTGTAGGGAGACGGGCTCAGCACAAAAGACAGAAACAACAAGACATCGTGGCACGGGCCAGAATGGTAGCTATAGAGGAAGAGAGAAGCGCTCACATGTTGCTGAATGAATAGTGAATAAATGAATTCACTCAATGATGGAGCCAGGATGCACACACAGCAGTCTGACTTGAGTGGCCTTGCTCTTAGTAAGGGTGAACAAAAACTAGGAGACAGGGGCTGCTGCAGCCTCCTTGGAACTTTCTAGCTCTGAGATTTTAGCAGCTTCCCTTCTGTGGGGTATGCAGGGAGGAAGGAAAATACTCCTATAATGGAAGCTTTATTGGAAAATGCAGAAGGTAGAAAAACATCAAGAAGGACAAAAAAAAAAAAACCCAACAGGCAACCAACCAGTCAACCAGTAACAACGTACAGGTCTGAGACTGGGGTACTGATGAACAGCCACTTAAGCCACATACAATCACTATATGCAATTTTTTCCCCCAAGAGAATGCATTAAAAGGAATGATTTGGAATTTTAAAAAAATTTTAATTATGTCTTTTAAAAATAAACTGAATAATTTGTAAAACTATGGAGAATATGGTGTGACACAAAGGCTATGACTTTAACTCACCTTTTCTGGGAAAGCAACTGGTTTAGAAGATTGAATGATGCAAACATAAAGCAAAGATTCTGAACCATCCGGTCTCTGGGCTGCACTTAAATTTTTAGCTTCATTAGAGATGACTTGGAGCTGCCATGCTTGTCATGCAAAACGTATTCCTCCATGTTATTTTCCATTTGCTAATCAGTTGGATCCATTTGAATCAAATTGTGCCTTTGTAGACTTGGTTGCTTCTTTTGGAAGTGTTTCTTCCTTCAAACTAGATTACAGAAACAAGAGCTGAATTAGACACATAGCTGCAGAAAGCAGATTTCTACTTTCAAACTTTAAATGAAAAATATTAATATTGAGAGTATTTATTTCATGTTGAAACCAAGCAACTTTCTTGGTAAAGTTCTATTTCTTAACACACACAGTCAGAAATTGATGGGAGTGACCACATGCCCCGAGGAGGCAGGTAGGCCCATCCAGAGCAGGAGCTCAGCTCATGCAGATGGACCTTTGACCCTAGCTCTGTTCCTCCTATTTGGATGACCCTGGCCAACTCACTGCACCGTTACTTTCCTCATCTGCAAAATTCATGTCTCTAAAATCCCCTTGCGGGGTTGCCATGAGGATGAGCTGAAAAGATGTGTGTGGTGTCAGAGAATGATTTGCTTGATCAATGGAAGTGATTAAGTTGTTAGCAGTCTACTTCTTGCTTTTGTAGAGTTGCATTTTTTGTAGAGTTCTAGCTCTTTGTTCATAGACAGGGTGACTATGTAATTTATCATACAAACTGGGAATGAATAAATGAAATGAAAGATTAAGTGGAGGAGAGTGTGGACTCAAAGGTGTGGTCAGGACTCTTCCCAAACAAACCTGAACAAATATGGTTACCTTCCCTAAGACTAATGCGTGGTCAGACTGAGCAGCCTGTGGGAGAAAGCTGGCTGCCATCATTCTGCCATCTACTGCTGGAGGAACAACAAGTCAGAAGGAGACTGGCAGGCAAAGCTAGACCTTGTCTGTGTTGGGAAGACTTACATGGTGTGCTGGTGAAGAACTAACAACCGCTGAGCACAGTGGCTCACACCTGTATTCCCAGCACTTTGGGAGGCCAAGGTGGGAGGATTGCTTGAGACCAGAAGTTTGAGACCAGCCTGGACCACCTAGTGAGACCCTGTCTCTACAAAAAAATCATTTTTTAAAAAATTAGCCGGTCCTGGTAACATGCACCTGTAGTCCCAGCTATTGAGGAGGCTGATGCAGGTGGATCATTTGAGCCCAGGAGTTAGAGATTGTAGTGAGCTATGATTGTGCCACTGCACTCCAGCCTGGGCAACTGAGCAAGACACTGTCTCAAAAAATAGACAAACAAAAAGAGTAACAACTTGGTCTTTGAAAAATATTGAGTAACCAGGCACAGTGGCTCACATCTGTGATCCCAGCACTTTGGGAGGCTAGGCAGGTGGATCACTTGAGGTCAGGAGTTCAAGACCAGCCTGGCCAACATGGCGAAACCCCATCTCTTCCAAAAATACAAAAAAGTAGCTGAGTGTGGTGGCAGGCAACTGTAATCCTGGTTACTCAGGTTGAGGCATGACAATTGCTTGAACCCAGGAGGTGGAAGCTGCAGTGAGTCGAGATCAGGCCATGGCACTCCAACCTGGGGGAGAAGAGTGAAACTGTCTCAGACAAAAAAAAAAAGAAAGAAAGAAAAAGAAAATTACTGAGTGAAGAAGCCTTCTTCCCTTCCTCCCCCACCACCTTATAATTTGGCAAAGGGCCTCCCTCTGTTGGGCCTACATTGTTTTCTAGGAGATAAAAATAGCCATGTACCAAGATAGCATCGAACCTTCAGGGGCAGGTGAGGATTCCAGCATGGGGGTATAAACAGGTCTTTTCTGTGAGCCAGGCTACATGGCTTTATGCTACTGTGTTTATTTCTCTTTGTTACTTGCCAACACAGTGATACTAGAACTTGAAGAAATTTAAGAGTAACTGGTATTACTTTAAAATACCTTTTCCAAGGCTCCCACTACAGACCTTCAGAATCCAAGTCCCCAGGATTCAGTATATTTAAACTGGTGTCCAGGGCAGTTTCTATGACCTCAAAAGGTTGGGAAACATTGCCCTCACATTTAGAAAAGTCCTTTAAACTTTTCAGCTTTGACTTAGTTGTGCTATGGATGTTGAAAAATGCCTTTTGTCAGGCCGGACGCGGTGGCTGAAGCCTGTAATCTCAGCACTTTGAGAGGCTGAGGCAGGCAGATTACAAGGTCAGTTCAAGACTAGCCTGACCGACTTCGTGAAACCCTGTCTCTACTAAAAATATAAAAATTAGCCAGGTGTGGTGGTGTGCCCCTGTAATACCAGCTACTCAGGAGCCTGAGGCAGGAGAATCATTTGAACCTGGGAGGCGGAGATTGCAGTGAGCCAAGATGGCGCCACGGTACTCCAGCCTGGGCAATAGAGTGAGATTTCATCGCAAAAAAAAAAAAAAAAAAAAGGTATCATTTTGAAGACCATGGAAAAATGCAGAAGTTATTAACATCTTCAGTAGATACAGTGCAATGCAAAATGCTACATGTTAAAAATCAGGGTGAGGTGCTATTAATTTTTAGAAGGCACTATAGGCCAGGTGTGGTGGCTCACACCTGTAATCCCAGGACTTTGGGAGACCAAGGCAGGCAGATCACCTGGGGTCAGTAGTTCAAGACCTCCCTGGCCAACATGGTGAAACCCTGTCTCTACTAAAAATATAAAAATTAGCCGGGTGTAGTATCATATGCCTGTAATCCCAGCTACTTGGGAGGCTGAGGCAGGAGAATCACTTGACCTCGGGAGGCGGGAGATTGGGCCACAGTACTCCAGCCTGGGTGACAGAGCAAGACTTTGTCTCAAAAAAAAAAAAAAAAAAAAAAAAAAAGGCACTATAGCCATGTAACACAAAGATGATAGAATCTTACCCCTAAGCTGTAGCCACACACAACCACACCCAAGTTTCCCCAAGGAAAACATGCATAGAGAACACTAGCAAATCGAATTAAAGCACCACTTTGCTACAAATATTCCAGTAAGCTGGGCCTGAGCACTGCTTTGGACTTCCAGGCTCTAGGCTTCCTCTATCTCCCAGGCATAAATAGACTTACCTTAGTGAGAGCACATCAGACAAAGATGCCTGGTCCTCTGCCAGAGAGGCAGGAGATCCTGGTTTCATCAGTGAATAAAGAGGCAGCAAAAAAAAGAGACCTGGTTTCAGCAGTGAAAAAGAGGCAGCAAAAAAGAGGCAGTGAATAAAGAGCCAGAAAAAAAAAAATTGGCTGGGGAGAGTTCCCTCTGATCATCTCTTGTCAACTCTGCATTTGCTGAAATCAAGTTGGTACCTTGAAACCAGCCATGTTGGGTGTCTTTATATTTTGGAAATGGGCAAACATCACAAAGTAGAGCTGCCCAATCCCCATCCAAAGTTGACTGTTAACTATCAGCATGCCATTGGGAGAGACCAGAAAGCATGCTAGCCTCCCCGACCTGTCAGTTGGCCCTGGTTTTGTACACCACTCTGTTTCACTGTAGGAAGAGAATGAAAGCTATGTCTGGATTCACAGTAATAAAGATGATTATGATGACAATATCTATTGAGCACTTCCACTTACTGTGTTCACTGGCCCAAATGTTTCATATGGATTCCCTTAATCTATACTCAAAGCACTTTATCAAATGAGGATTGCCATGATCTCTACATATGAGGAAACTGAGGATCGGAGCAGGGAAGTAATTTGTCTAATGTTACGCAGCTGAGGAATAGACAATTAATTCTGGATTCCAATTCAGGTAAGGCCATTCTAAAGGCTCAGCACTGACCTCAATAGCAACCATTTCCTGGGGAAGCCTGGCAGAGAGAATGGCAAAGCTTCTTCCTTAACTAACAGTTGACAGCATGGATTACCAGTTGCTATGACAGAATCATTTATATTTTAAAATGTGCAATGTGCAACCTTGCATATTGTTATACAGTTTTTACATAGGTTTTCTTCCTTTCTTTTTTTTTTTTTGAGATTGACTTTGCTCTTGTTGCCCAGGCTGGAGTGCAATCTGGGCTCACTGCAACCTCTGCCTCCTGGGTTCAAGCAATTCTCCTGCCTCAGCCTTCCAAGCAGCTGGCATTATAGGCATGTGCCACTATGCCCAGCTAATTTTGCATTTTTAGTAGAGACAGGGTTTCTCAATGTTGGTCAGGCTGGTCTCGAACTCCCGACCTCAGGTGATCTGCCCACCTTGGCTTCCCAAAGTCTTGAGATTATAAGCGTGAGCTATATATCTCTTGGGTATAGATCTAGGAATAGATCTGCTGGATCATATGGTAATCCTATGTTTAAGTTTTCTGGGAACTGCCAAACTTTTTTTTTTACCGAGTGTAGGTCAGCAACTTTTATTTATTTATTTTTAAGAGACGGGGTCTTGCTGTGTTGCTGAGGCTGAGTACAGGGGCATGATCATAGCTTGCTGCTTCCTTGAATTCCTGGGTTCAAATGATTCTCTCGCTTCAGCCTCCCAAGTAGCTGGAACTACAGGAGCATGTCACCATGCCCTGGCTAATTTTCAAATGTTCTGTAGCAATAGGGTCTCACCAGCAACTGTTAGAAGAACTTATTTTTATCATTGTAAAAGTAATACAGGACAGAAACTTTGAAAAAACCCAGAAAATTATAGAAATTTTGAAAAACCTAGGGAAGAATCAGGACAAAATACAAATAATTCTCACTTTTCACTACTGTGGGTAGCTACTGTTAATGTTGTAGTCCATCTTCTTAATATGTGCATATGCACATGCACACACACAAATACAGATAGGCCCTGACTTATAATGGTTCAACTTGTGACTTTTTGAATTTGCTATGGGTTTACTGGGGTACTAAATGTATTTGACAATATTTTCAACTTACTATAGGTTTACCAGGACAAAACCCCATTGCAAGTAGAAAAGTGCCTGTAATTGGCATCATACTGTATATGATCTTTTGAAAAATTTTTTTGGCAAGGCCTAACGCCTGTAATCCCAACACTTGGGGAGGCCGAGGCAGGTGGATCACCTGAGGTAAGGCGTTCAAGACCAGCCTGGCCAATATGGTGAAACCCTGTTTCTACTTAAAATACAAAAACTAGATGGGCATGGTGGTGCATGCCTGTAATCCCAGCTACTTGAGAGGCTGAAGTAGGAGAATCTCTTGAACCCTGGGAGGTGGAGGTTGCAGTGAGCCAAGGTTGCACCACTGCACTCCAGCCGAGGTGACAGTGAGACTCTGTCTCCAAAAAAAAAAAAAAAAAAAAAAGAAATTAGCTGGGTGTGGTGGTGTGTGCCTATAATCCCAGCTACTCTGGATGATGAGGCATGAGAAGAGCTCGAACCCAGGAAGGGGAGGTTGCAGTGAGCCGAGATCACACCACTGCACTCTAGCCTGGCAACAGAGAGAGATTCTGTCTCAAAATAAAGAATTTTTTTTTTCATTTAGCAAAAAGTTATGAATTTATCAAGTTGTAATCTTCCAAAACATGATTTTAAAATAGTTACATATTATTATTTTATATTAATGTACCAGTATTCATTTAACCCATATCCTTTTGATGAATAGTTAGAATATTCCTAATTTTCCCCTGACAACTCTATAATAAATATATTATACTTGGTAAAAATATTGTGGTGTTCATTATTTTTTCCTAGAATAAATTTCTGAAGATTGGATTAATTATGTGTATTTTGAGTGTTTCTAATACAGATTTCCAAATCTTCCTTCAAAAATTTTTATCCATCTGCATTGGGCTCCAGCAGCAAACAAGATGGTCTCACCACTAGACAGAAGCCTATGGTAATTATGATGTTTTAAATATCTGTCAATTTAATGGACTGAAAAAAGTCATGACAGTATTTTGCTTGGCATCTCTTAGATTATCAACGATAATGGAATTTTTTCTCATGCTTACTGATCATTTGTATTTCTTTTTTTATGCCCTGTTTTTCAATCTTTGTGTTTGTCTTGTTGTTCATTTGGAACAGTCTGTATTATAGATCCATATATTGCATGTATTTGTTCCCATTGAGTTTGTCTTTTCCTTTTTTTGAGACGGAGTTTGGCTCTTGTTGCCCAGGCTGGGCTACAGCGGCATGATCTCAGCTCACTACAACGTTCGCCTCTCGGGTTCAAGTGATTCTCCTGCCTCAGCCTCCCAAGGAGCTGGGATTACAGGCACCCGCCACCATTCCCAGCTAATTTTTGTGTTTTTAGTAGAGACTGGGTTTCACCATTGTTGGTCAGGCTGGTATCAAACTCCAGACTTCAGGTGATCCACTCACCTTGGCCTCCCAAAGTGCTGGGATTACATGTCTTTTTCTTTTACAAATTTATCTGTTTTTGGTATACATTACAAATGTAATAGATGTTCCATATAAAAATATTTTAAAATTATGAAGGAAAAATGAAGTAGGCAAACAAATAAGTACATAAATAAAATAAAAATACAACAAATTACAAAACTATAAAAAATAGATATTGAAAAATTCCCATATTCCATCCTTTCAGATTCAGAATTTGTTGTATATTCCTATAAATATTTTTTCTTTTCCATTCTATCAGTTACATTTCTTTTCAAAATTGAAATCATAGTATGTTGGGATTCACTCAGGGTGGTTGGCAAAATATTAAGGGAAACATTAGGGAAAGTTGTCAGATTACAGTCTCAAGCCTTTTGGAAGGCCAAAAGGTTTTAACAGGACAGGCTGAAGACAGTCAGTTCTTACCTTAGAGCATTAGGTCATAGGGTGAAGATTAGGGATAATAGAAGCTTCCCCACTTAAGTGTGTTTACCTCTTATTCCTTTTTCTCTACTCTACTTGGTTAGTCATGTAAACTTTGTGCTGGATGGTCTTCTCAAGGGAAGGTAGAAGGAGAATTATCCATTAATGGTGTTTACTCTGGGCCCTGGAACCAAAAGCTTTTATCATTACTAAAACCACTCTTTTAACCATGTTAATTATCCATAAAATGTTGTCTTAGAACCTCTGTTATTAAATTATTAAATCTATACTGAATAAATGTGAGGAGAAATAGCTAGTAAGAGGTCAGGCAGCTACAGTTGCCCTCTGAGAGCAGCTAACGACCTCCCTAGCCCACTCAATTCACTGTACTTTGTGTGTAAGTGTATTTATTCATCCATCACGGAGTCAGGGTTTGCAGGACAGACTCCCACAGGTAGTGATCAATGTCTCAAGAGTACACACACTGTTTTTAATTTGATTCTTCACTTACTATATCATATACATATCTCTATGTTAATACACATAGCTTTATCTTCTTTTAATAGTTACATACTATTATATGACATATTATGCTTTTTAACATTAAAAAGGTTTACATTTTTATTTAGTCATATTATTCTATCTTTTTATGGCATATTGCTAAATATTTATGCTTAGAAAGAAGATTCTCAAGTTTTTATAAGAACTCTCTGGCCAGGTGTGGTGACTCACGCCTGTAATCCCAGCACTTTGGGAGGCTGAGGCTGGCAGATCACAAGGTCAAGAGATAGAGACCATCCTGGACAACATGGTGAAACCCTGTCTCCACTAACAAAAAATTAGCAGGCATGGTGGTGAATGCCTGTAGTCCCAGCTACTCTGGAGGCTGCGGCAGGAGAATCACTTGAACTTGAGCGGCACAGGTTGCAGTGAGCCGAGATTGTGCCATTGCACTCCATCCTGGTGACAGAGTGAGACTCTGTCTCAAAAAAAAAAAGAAAATGAAGACTATCAGCATATCTGTGTAAACTCTACGAAGAGTCAGACTATAGAAGGAGTATAGTAAACTTTGCTGTGTAAAGAAAGGATGGAAAGCTACTTTGCTTTGATAAGATAAAAAGTACTGTAGTACCTATTTGGAGTAAATTAAAATTCAGAATACTTACCATTTCAGCTGGTCTCAACAGCAAATATTTAGAAGTTTGAAATACATCAATATTGGGAAATAGAGGACTGTTGCTTCCTTAAGATATTCATGAAATCACTGGGTTAGGTGCTGAGAATGCAATGATGAGGAAACACGCACATACACACCAACAGACATACATACAATCCCAGCTCTTATGGACTGTATAGTCAAGCGGAGAGACAAACATTATTTAAATAATGACACAAATAAATATCACAAACTGCAGTGTGCATGATGGAAAAGGAGTATTAGATGATATGAGATGATTAACAGGGATCTGTTATTGGCCTGAAACGTGGGAAAGCTAACCTGAGACTGTCAGTTGTGCTGTGGATGGAGGATGAGGATGGGAGGTGGCTGGTGAGCGCCTGCATTAGGGAAGGAAGTAAGGGTGCAGGAGCCCTGATGCTGGAAGTGGTGTGAGACTTGGGTAACACAAGGGCTAACCCGAATGCCTATAGAGGATTTGGGAGGATTGTGGGAGAGGAAGAAGTGACATCCTTCTCCTAAAGTATTTAAATTCAGTCTTCATCATTTAAAAAAATAGTCTAACAATAGGCAAACAATTTGTGTTTTTTACAGGGATTGTAAGAGTCAATAAATGATTACTGAACTCCTAAGAAGGTCCTAAAACTGAGTGTTTGAGGAATTCCAGAATTTAAATGTTGGGTAGAAAAGGATAACCCAATAAGTATTCCTAGGTCTGAAGAAGGAAAGCCAGGAGTGAGTTTAGTGTTACTAATGGCAGGGGAAAAGAGAGCCTTTTAAAAAGGAGGCAGTGAGGCCGGATGTGGTGGTTCATGCCTATAATCCCAGCATTTTGGGAGGCTGAAACAGGTGGATCACCTGAGGTCTGGAGTTTGAGACCAGCCTGACTAACATGGAGAAATCCTGTCTCTACTAAAAATACAAAAAAATTAGCTGGGTGTAGTGGTGCATGCCTGTAATCCCAGCTACTTGGGAGGCTGAGGCAAGAGAATTGCTTGAACCCAGGAGGCACAGGTTGTGGTGAGCCAAGATCGCACCACTGCACTTGGAGGCTAATGACTTTCACAAAATGCTTAAAATGCATGGATATTGTATAATCAGCTCCAAGCATCTTCCTGAATTATCTGTGTCTTTTGTCTAACTGGGAGAGGTGTGGGTTGCTTTAGACCAAATTCATGCTTCTGGAGATCTGAGGGAATTTTAGCAACAATCCAGTGGTGTTACAAACAAGACCATTATAAGATAAACACATTTTAACAAGGCATTTATTACCCAATGCCTTAATATTAGAGAGACCCAATTGGGCTCATGTTAAAAACAACGAAGCATCTATTTCTTATGCAATGCTGTATAGCGAAGTACCTGAGAAGTCTAGATCCTCAGAACCAAAAAATTCTATGCATTGATCTATTGTCTTTATTTGAGACAGACAGTGTGCTTATGGTACAGGTATCTACCAGCTACTGAAAACTGCAGAAGTCCTACCCATGATGTATCCTTATTTATGGAAGAAATACTCTAAAAATCTCTCATAAAACAGGAAGAAAGTAGTTTTCTAACCAAAAATGTCATCATAATTAACACTTCTCAGGGTAAAAATTGAGAACATAATGATGAATGAACTCAGAAAGATTCAAAATAAACAATATATACAAATCAAGCTCTCAGACAATTGCAAATATATAGTATCTATTAGTATTTAGCTGAATTAATCATTTCTTTCTTTTCTTTTTTTTTGAGACGGAGTTTCGCTCTTGTTACCCAGGCTGGAGTGCAATGGCGCGATCTCGGCTCACCGCAACCTCCGCCTCCTGGGTTCAGGCAATTCTCCTGCCTCAGCCTCCTGAGTAGCTGGGATTACAGGCACGCGTCACCATGCCCAGCTCATTTTTTGTATTTTAGTAGAGACAGGGTTTCACCATGTTGACCAGGATGGTCTCGATCTCTTGATCTCTTGACCTCATGATCCACCTGCCTTGGCCTTCCAAAGTGCTGGGATTACAGGCGTGAGCCACTGCACCCGGCCTTGAATTAATCATTTCTTAAGCCCCTCATATAGTTACTGTTTATGAAAGATAAAGTTCTATGTACATGGGAATTAAATTTAGAAAAACATTTAATTATCATAATTAAATGTAATCATTGTTAAAATATCAAAACAATACTACATTTCAGAGAATATATACGTAATGATTTTAAAGCTCTAGTGAAGCATACTCTAAAATGTAGCTAAGCAATCTATTAACACTGGCCTTTTACACAACATGGTTGCAATTATTCTGGTAAGATAAATTGGCTGGGCACAGTGATTCATGCCTGCAATCCCAGCACTTTGGGAGGCTGAGGTGGTTGGATCACCTGAAGTCAGGAGTTCAAGACCAGCCTGGTCAACATGGCGAAACCCTGTCTCTACTAAAAATACAAAATATTATCCGGGTGTGGTGGTGGGCTCCTGTAATCCCAGCTACTTGAGGGGCTGAGGCAGGAGAATTGCTTGAACCTGAGAGATGGAGGTTGCAGTGAGCTGAGGTCATACCACTGCACTCCAGCCTGGGTGACAGAGTGAGACTCTGTCTCAAAAGAGAAAACAAAAAGATAAATTATACATATGATTGATATACAAGGAAATTATATGTATTCACTTACATATAATTTCCTTTTGGAAGATTTTAGGAAAATATTTGCCACAATTAATGATTTTTATATTTTATTTATAAATTGAATACTTTGACAAAATATTATATTAAATGGTTCAATCTATTGAACCATATATGCTGTACTTTTATATATGTTATTGCATTTTAAAAAATCTGTAATTTTCAGTAACCTCAAAATGTTAAAATAAATTTCTTGGCACAGTGGCTCATGTCTGTAATTCCAACACTCTGATTGGCCAAAGAGGGTGGATCACTTGAGTCCGTGAGTTTGAGACTAGCCTGGGCAAAATGGCAAAACATTTCTACAAAAAATACAAAAATTATCTAGGTGTGGCGCAGAGTACCTGTAGTCCCAGCTACTAGGGAGGTTGAGGTGGGAGGATCTCACTGCAGATCCACTATTGCAGTGAGCTGTGACTGGGCAATAGAGCAAGACCTTGTCTCAAAATAAATAAATAAATAAATAAATAAATAATTTTCTTCCTCTTTAAATCTTGGACCTAGTTACCAGATCAATCTTGCTAAAATTCTACTTTCATTCATGCATATTATTCAGTGGCTCCTCACCTCCTACAAAATGAAGTTCAGCTCTTTGTTTTCACATGCAAAACATTTCAATATTTGGCTTCAAACTTTATTTCTAAACCAAGCCACACTCATCTCCACACTGAGCTTGTGCTGTCTTCCTCATCTCGAAAGCTCTTCCTCTTTCTCTTCTTCAAATCTTGTGATCTTTAAAGATGCAGTTCAACTCCCACCTACCTCCCTTATGAAATCTTCCCTTATGTTTCCGGTGCCTTCCCTGGGCCTTGTCTTCATCACTTATTTTGGTGTTTAAACAACCACTATTATGTACTAAGTAACAGTACTTGTGGTTTTTTTTTTTTTGACACGGAGTTTCCCTCTTGTGGCCCAGGCTGGAATGCAATGGCGAGATCTCGGCTCACTGCAACCTCAGCCTTCTGGATTCAAGTGATTTTCTTGCCTCAGCCTCCTGACCAGCTGGGATTACAGGTGTCTGCCACCACACCCAGCTAATTTTTGTATTTTTAGTAGAGACAGGGTTTTGCCATGTTGGCCAGGCTGCTCTCAAACTACTGTCCTCTGGTCATCCACCCACCTCAGCCTCCCAAAGTGCTGGGATTACATGTGTGAGCCACCGCGCTCAGCCTTGTGTCTCTTAACCCAATGGGAATTACCTTTGGTTCCTAGCACAATCCTAAGAATTATAAAATTTGACAGACTATTAAATTATAAGCATATGCTAGTATTACTTTAATTACCTCTGACTTATTTTATGTTGTTTTTACAGTTTTTCTATCTACAGAAATAGTATTACTAAAGGCCAAGTCTACTATTGCTTAAGTGTCTCTCATTCTCTTTCAAAACGAACTGATCTTGCTGTTGTCTCCATTTAATGTATGATCTTCACTGTGCAACTGAAATATACAGGGTCTGGAATTTTCCTCAAACTATGGACTAATTCCGTTTAATTTCATCAAGTCTTAGGTAAGTTTCTGTGTTTTGTGATAAATGTATTTTTACCTTCTTTTTAATGGAATATTTGAACGTTCAGTTTCTCCAAAAATACAGAACTTAAACCCAAAAAACAGTAAGGTCTTTCTTTCATTGAGTTTGATGTTTTTCCTTTTTCTCTCCTTTCTCCAAACACAGAGGAAGAGATAAAAAATGTGGAGAGAGAAGGCCAGGCACGGCGGCTCATGCCTATAATCCCAGCACTTTGGGAGGTCGAGGCGGGTGGATCACGAGGCCAAGAGATCGAGACCATCCTGGTCAAAACGGTGAAACCCTGTCTCTACTAAAAATACAAAAAAAAAAATTAGCTGGGCATGGTGGCATGCTCCTGTAGTCCCAGCTACTCGGGAGGATGAGGCAGGAGAACTGCTTGAACCCAGGAGGCAGAGGCTGCAGTGAGCCGAGATCGCGCCATTGCACTCCAGCCTGGGTAACAAGAGTGAAACTCTGTCTTAAAAAAAAAAAAAAAAAAAAAGTGGAGAGAGAGATGTTTTTAAAGGCCTTCCTAGGCTAGATGCAGAAAAGCAGAAATTATGGTGCTAGCTTCCTCTACTGCATAGGCAGTTTAACTCTGCTTAAGACTATTGAACTTGAGTCCCAAGTTTACAGATCTAGCGCAATCATGCCTACAAATGAGCATGGTTTTCTTCCTGCATATAACAGCACCAATTACTTATTAAACACCTACTGTATGTCAGACGCAATGTTGGTTGCTTTATATATTACCTAATTTTCATGATCTAATGTATCATGATTCCCATTTTATAGAGGAGAAAACCAAGGCTTAGAGATCCTAAGTAACTTGAACAACTAGTAAATGGCAGAGCTAGAGTTTAGATGCAGAACTGATTCCAAACCCTATGCTCTTTTCACCACATCTTGCATTGTCAGTGTCTTTTATTGGCAGGAATTCTCACTGGGGAATGTTGGGGCTTGCATCTGTAACTGGCAGCTAAAGGGAAGGACAGAATAATAATAAAAAATTTCCATTGTATCTGAGGAGGTTTACCAGACCTCTTTCCCTATGCAGAGTTGCTCCAGGCTTTGTTATTAGATGTTCTTCACTCTGACAATTTACACTTCAGTGTACACTAAATTTGGCACTGTTCCTTTTGTTATGGAACATCTGATCACTTCTGTGTCTGGGTAGGTGGGGAAGAGAGCTGAGATTTTATCTTTGTCAAGGCCCAGGATGAAAACAATACCAGGAAGTAAATCAATGCAAGAATATACATTTTATACTAAAAACGTATATATGATAATATGTAGTATATTTTTTGGAGGGGCCGGTGATGGCGGGGTGTGGCATGATACATTTATCACACAAGATGAAACTTATACATAAAGACTAGATATATGTATCTTAGTGCTGTGCTGATATATAAATTCCAAGTTTCAGTTGTTAATTTATTTGAAGATCAATAGAAGGAAATTCCAGTGTGACAAGAACGTTGACAATCCCTGTGTTATCACTACCAGGATTTAGTTCCACTGTGCTCTTCCAGGAAGGATATAGCTGTGTATGCAGGTTTTAGTTGGGCAATCAACTTTTTCTAGTCACTTTACTTGTGGCAGTTTCTGGGTTGCTGTTCTGTGTATTAGGACCACAGGAGGAGAGAAAGGTTTATTCTTCCTTCTCCATTTTTCCACACTTAGGAGAGTTTGATAGACTATATTTTCTAGTTAGTAGTTAATTTTGTTTAACAGTCTAGAGATTGCTACACTGATTTAATGAGTTTTACACTTAGTTGGGCAAAAGTTTATTAGTATCTACCACCAACCAGATCTAACTACATAAATATGCATCGTATAATTGTATTAAGGATAATGTGTGGGTTTTGAATGTGAACCCTGAAAATCTGAGCCACATTCCAGTTAATTTAGAAAGTTTATATTGCCAAGGTTGAGGATGCATGCCCATGATAATGGCCTCAGGAGGTCCTGACATATCCAAGGTGGTCAGAGCACAGATTGGTTTTGTATATTTTAGGCAGACATGAGACAGCAATCAACATATGTAAGACGAACATTGGTTCAGTCCAGAAAAGGTGGGACAATTCAAAACAGGGAGGGGGCTTCCAGGTCTTAGGGAGCTAAGAGGCAAATCGTTGCATTCTTTTGAGTTTCTGATTAGCCTTTCCAAAGGAGGTAATCAGATATTCATTATCTGTGAGCAGAGGGTGACTTTGTATAGAATAGGAGGCAGGTTTGCCCTCAGTAGTTCCCAGCTGGACTTTTCCCTTTAGCTTAGTGATTTTGGGGCCCCAAGATATTCCTTTTACATGAGTTAGTAACCATTCACTCTTGTGAAATGTCATTTTAATATTAGGATATCTGAAATGTTTCCATATGGCTGGGCGCTGTGGCTCATGCCTGTAATCCCAGCACTTTGGGAGGCTGAGGCCCGACGACCACTTGAGCCCAGGAGTTTGACACCAGCCTGGGCAACATAGTGAGACCCTGTCTCCACAAAAAATAAAATTAGACAGGCATGGTGGCACGTGCCTGTGGTCCCAGCTACTTGGGAGGCTAAGGCAGGAGGATCTCTTGAGCCCGGGAGGTTGAGGCTGTAGTAAGCCTCGATCCTGCCACTGTACTCCATCCAGCCTGGGAGACAGAGATAGATAGACCCTGTCTTAAAATCAATCAACAAACAACGATAAATAATGAGATGTTTCTATAGATTACTTTGTTTTTTAAAACACTAAATTGATTGATTGATTGATTGATTGAGATGGAGTCTCATTCTGTTGCCCAGGCTGGAGGCATGGTGTCGGCTCACTGCGACCCCGGTTTCAAGCGATTCTGCTGTCTCAGCCTCCCAAGTAGTTGGGACTACCAGCATGTGTCACCATGCCCAGCTAATTTTTTATTGTTATTTTAATTTTTGTATTTTTAGGTGGGACGAAGTTTCGCATGTTGGCCAGGCCCGTCTCGAACTCCTGTCCTCAGGTGATCGGCCCGCCTCAACCTCCCAAAGTGCTGGGATTACAGCTGTGAGCCACTGCACCTGGCCTAAAAACACTTAGTAGGGAACTGGGGTGCAGTTTTGTCACTGACAGTTACGGTGCTGTAGAAAGAACCCATATCTTGAATCTGCATGCCCAGCTAATTTTTTATATTTTTAGTAGAGACGGGGTTTCACCATGTTGACCAGGATGGTCTCGATCTCTTGACCTCGTGATCCACCCGCCTGGGCCTCCCAAAGTGCTGGGATTACAGGGGTGAGCCACCGCGCCCGGCCTGAGGATCATGATTTCTATACCGCAGTGTTCTTATGAGACTGAATGACGGAAGTTAAAAAGTTTTCTACGAAGGCAAAGTTAGGTTTCGTATCTTACAGCAGGAAGAGAGATGCTCAAGAGAAGTGGGAATCTCAGGAGAAGGATGTGGTCAGGGGCTTTTGTGGAGGTTGGAATAAGCATTATTAGTCAAGGGGCTCAACTGCCATGTATGGTAGGTCTCGAATACCGTTTCTCCAAAATAACCGATGTCCCCCCAAACACAAACTTCCTCGACTCGGATCAAACTCAATCCTGCAGCATGTTCTGAGATTCTGTACTCGCCTCACTTCCCCCGATTGTCAGTTTTGGAGGAGCCATTCCTTCATCATCCATGTTTGCATCCTCCACACCGCTCATTGTTAAGTGCTTAGTGCGTTTGCTATCGTGGAGTGGACATAATAATCAGGTTAGCGACTTAATAACTGTTAGTGGTGGAGCTTTAAAGCCAATTTGAAAGTTTATCTTTCCCCCCAAAGGCAAAAGCAGTCGTTCCTTTTCTCAAAAGAGAATTTTAAACAGAACTGGGTCTTTGGTGTCCTGCCTAAAGCCGACAAAGAAAGAGGGTCACGGTTGGGGGTGGGGGTGAGGGGCGATACAGAACCCTCTTCTGGTGATGCCTTGCCCGGAGCCCCAGGATAGAGCCCTGGCGCGCTCCCAACGCGAATCGGCGACTCCGTGGGGAGCGCGGTGCGGAGGTGCCCGTCTCACCCTACCCCTTGTGGGGTGCGAGGCTCAATTTCCCGCTGGTCCTGAGATGCGAATGAAGTGGTGTGAAGGGTTGGGCTTTTTTTTTTGTTCCTAAAAATGCAACGAACAAAAAAAAAAGTACAACAATCCAAACCCAACCATCTTATTATACGGCAGCTTAATTGGAAGACTTTCTTCCCGGGTGGCTCCATCCAGGACGGCGCCGCGTCCAGTCGAGCCCACCGTCTGGGCGAACGGCGACCACTTCCCGGAGCAGCGGCCCAGCCCCTGCGGGCGGGAATCTGGCGCGCGCAGGCCTCTGGAAGGGAGAAAAGCCCGCAGCCCAGCCCTCCCGTTCCCGGGTGGGTGGCGGGAGCCAGAGGCGGTTGGAGGCGACAGGAGCCGGCGGCTGCTGTAGACGCCGGAAGAAGCGCGGTCGCACCGGCTCCCTCCGTTGGGACAAGGCGCGGTCGGGGAGGCGGGGCCCGAGGTGCCTGCGGAGGCGGGCGACGGGGCGAGAGGGGGGGAAGGAGGCGGGGCGGGGGGGGAGGGAGGAGAGGAGGGGCGGGGGGGGGGGAGGGAGGAGAGGAGGGGCGGGGGCGGAGCTCGCTGGAACTGCGAGTCCATTTTGCGGCGGTGCCGGGCGCGTACCGTGCGGTTCGTGCTGTTGGAGGACAGGGGGTAGCGCGGCCTCTCCCGCTCGCCGGAGGTCAGAGATAAGTACCCGTTGCCCGGCTACTCTCGGGGAAGCGGGGTGGTTCTCGAGCCTGCAGTGAGGGTGGGGACTTGCCCAGGCCAGCACGGACCTGCGTGGGTTGGGGACTGGCGAAGGCCTTCTGAGCTCCAGTCCCCGCAGCACGTTGGAAACCAGCGGGGCACAGTCACAGGCGTGGGGAGGAGAGGTCTGCGTTGGGCGCCGGGGCAGTGTATCTGTGGTCCCGAAGACCTGCTCCGGCCCTGCTACCAGCGTCTTCACATCTAGAAAAGAAAAGATGGGTGTGGGCCCTGTGTTAGAGCGCGCTGCCTGCGTCTGGCGCTGACCTGGAGAAGACGTTGCTTGGCGCCGGGGGAGGGCGCCCTAATCGAGAAGCTGCTTAATACAAAGAGCTCCAGGCTCCTGGCGCTTCACAAGGTCTAAACAGCCTGGCTTTATTTGTGGGGGCGATTGAAAAAAACGAAGGTCAGGATTTAGGGTCCTGTGCATACAGATGCGTAATACTGTTCTTTTTTTCTTTCTTTGCAGAAGCCTCTAGTTCGTTAGTCAAAACGTGAAAAAAAGACCTGGGAAATAGTAACCCTGCCAAATATATCAGCTTGTAGCAGACAGAGGTAAACTACAATAGTTTTCCTGTTATCCTCACTTAAAAAAAAAAAACCCAAAAAAACCAATTTCAGTAGGCCCCACAATCTTCTAAAATGGAACTGTGTGTAGAATAGTATGTTCCCATCCACTTTCACTGTGGTCTTTGTTCTTTTTCATATTTTGTTAAAACTTAGAAAAATAGAATTCACTTTTAGCAATTATTTATGTGGTATTTATTTTAAATATATCCAAACATTTATATTAGAGGGTCTTACGCACTTTTTTCCTAGTTTTTTTTTTTTCCTCTTCTATGCTTAGTGATTGTCAGGCTGCTAGGGCTTGTAGAACAGGGCTTGAGTTTTCTAGAGACCTTTATACAATAGGCATTTTAAAAGCAGAATTTCATTTACACAGGCACTCCTAGTAGAACTTGATGGAGCTGTTGATTAACTGGTTATACTTCCTTCTTGCACACTGGGAGCTTCCCTATCCTTCCCTACAAATAACTTTTCTTTTTCTCCTTTCTACCACCTGGCTTACTAAACCTCCCTGGGAAGCCCTTGCATAACACGGGGCTGTTCTGTTCATTCCGTGCATTTATGATAATTTATCTGGCCTTAATTCTGCCACAGCTTTTGTTCAGATATGCTCATTTTCATGACACTGCTTTGTATCTGATATCCTATGTAATATTTGTTTTGCCTTGCCTTGAAATTACAGTTCAAGTTTAGAACCTTTTCTTGCTTGATACACTAATGCTACAAAATAACACCTTAAATGTGTACAGTTTGCATCTATGTAATTAAACCTTATGTTTGTATAGTTTAGTAGTTTATGGAATTCTAACACATTACTGTTTCCAACAACACTAATAATACAGGAGTTATTAAATTATTTTTAGGTAGCTAGAAAGGGTAAAAGTTATCGGTGGAATTTTCCTTTAATAAAAAGTAGTCCCGCTGGGCGCAGTGGCTCATGCCTGTAATCCCAGCACTTTGGGAGGTCCAGGCGGGCTTATCATGAGGTCAGGAGTTTGACACCAGCCTGACCAACATGCTGTAACGCCATCTCTATTAAATATAGAAAATTAGCCGGGTTTCATGGCGTGCACTGGTAAACCCAGCTACTTAGGAGGCTGAGGCAGGAGAATCCCTTGAACCCGGGAGGCGGAGGTTGCAGTGAGCCGAGATTGCACCACTGCATTCCAGCCTGGGCGACAGAGCGAAACCCAATCTCAAAAAAAAAACAAAACAAAAACAAAAACCCTCTGCTGGGCACAGTGGCTCACACATGTAATCCTAGCACTTTTGGAGGCTGAGGCAGGTGGATCACTTGAGGTCAGGAGTCCCAAGACTAGCCTGGCCAATACTGTAAAATCTCATCTCTACTAAAAATACAAAAATTAGCTGGGCACGTGCCTGTAATCACAGCTACTCGGGAGGCTGAGGAAGAAGAATCGTTTGAACCTAGGAGGCAGAGGTTGCAGTGAGCGGACATCGCGCCACTGCACTTCAGCCTGGGCAAGAGTGAGAATTTGTCTGGAAAAAAAAAATTGGCCCCTAAACCATTTCTTTACTAACAGAAAGCAGCCTGAAAAGTCAAGCAGCAAGCAGAAATATGCAAGCTAGAAGCTTTTATATGTCAATGTCGCCAGCTGTATTTGGAAGCCAGGTACCTTCAGTATGGTCTCCCGCTCCCTTTTCCTTGGCGACCCCAGGTAGAAGCCACATTTGCATAATGAAATTTTTTTTTTTTTTTGAGCTGTAGTTTCGCTCTTGTTGCCTATCCTGTAGTGCAATGGCGGGATGTCAGCTCACCTCAACCTGCACCTCCCAGGTTCAAGCAGTTCTCCTGCCTCAGCCTCCTGAGTAGCTGGGATTACATGCTAATTTTGTATTTTTTGTAGAGATGGGGTTTCTCCATGTTGGTTGGGCTGGTCTCAAACTTCGGACCTCAGGTGATCTGCCTCCTAAAGTGCTAGGCTTACAGGGCCAGTTTTTCCCTGGGCTATGTAAATGGCACACCTGGTCAAACCAGTCTCCTGGGCCCTGTGTAAATCTGTCACCCCGTCCCTACCGCTTTTTCAATTTTCTGTACAAAATCGATTGCATTCTATCTCAAACCCTGAGACCCTCTCTTGGGTGACCCGCTTTCTCAGCATGAGGAAGCTTTCTTTATTAAACTTTCCCCTCCTGAGCTCCTAAACCCACTCCTCGTGTGTGTCCCTGTCCTGAATTCTTTCTTGGCGTGAGACAACCACAGGGGTATCCCTGAGACAACGGAGCCCTTTCATTATGAAGTAAATACTGTAAAAATAATTTGAGCTGGGCGCGGTGGCTCACGCCTGTAATCCCAGCAGTTTGGGAGGCTGAGGCGGGTGGATCACGAGGTCAAGAGATCAAGACCATCCTGGTCAACATGGTGAAACCCCGTCTCTACTAAAAATACAAAAAATTAGCTGGGCATGGTGGTGCACGCCTGTAATTCCAGCTACTCAGGAGGCTGAGGCAGGAGAATTGCCTGAACCCAGGAGGCGGAGGTTGTGGTTAGCCAAGATCGCGCCATTGCACTCCAGCCTGGGTAACGAGCGAAACTCCGTCTCAAAAAAAAATAATAATTTGAAAATTTTTTTCTAATAGATGGGATTCTCAGCTGTGTTGCCCAGGCTGGTCTTGAACTGGGCTCAAGGGATCTCCTGCTTCAGCCTTCAGAGTAGCTGGGCAGTTTCTGTGCTTTCTCTTTCACTGGAGAGCCTCTTAAACCTAGTTTGTAAAAATTGCAGAATTTCAGAAGGGATTTTAGAGAGCTCATGATTATACTTCATTTTATGAATAAGAATACTGAGTTCATGAGTCACTTTCTAGGTAGTGCTAAGGTCTAAGAATTAGAAAACTCAGGCTCTGTGATGCCTAGTTTTCTGTGTAGAGTTGATACATCTTCATTTTTTGAGTGCTGGAGGTGTCATAGTTTTTTGACTCCTAAAGGTGGACATTTATCTAGATGATTTCTAAGATGCTTGCCCAGTATTTCTTTCATTTCTACCCCATAACTTTTATTACCATCTATTGCCAATATATATATAGGTAAGACACAGATGCAGACTAATGTTAACTGCCTTCAACTGTTTTATATTTTAAACTCGGGTAGGTACGATAACAAGTGTCTTATTCTTGTTTTTTTACTAAGTCTTAAAAAAGTATGGTTTTGTTATAAGGTTAGGAACTGCATAGAGAGGTAGAGCACTCTCCTACATCGATTAGAGTTCATAAAGTGATATTATATACCCTTTCTAGAGAGAAGCCTAGTCATCTTTTCAAGAAAGGTGTCCTTACTCTTTGACCCAGAAGAGTAAATTACTCTTTGACAATTTAAAATAATTGTCTATGGAAATAAGAAGAGCTGTGGAGCAAGACTTTCCTCTACAAGGTGTTAATCTAAATGTCACAATACTCCCCCAAAAAACCCCCACACAGAAAACAACAAAAACATCAAACCCATAAATAAGCAATAAGAAAGCATATCATCGACATGGACTGTTATATTTTTCTAGAATATATAATGATAGGAGAAAGACATGTAATAAATGGATAAGGTAGATACACAATTGTATTATGCTACCAGTTTTGTTAAAATATGTGCACATACGGCTGGGCACAGTGGCTCACATCTGTAATCCCAGGACTTTGGGAGGATGAGGTGGGCAGATCACCTGAGGTGTCAGGAGTTCTAGACCAGCCTGACTAACATGGTGAAACCCCATCTCTACTAAAGATAAAAAACATCAGCCAGGTGTGGTGGTGCATGCCTGTAATCCCAGCTACTCCGTAGGCTGAGGCAGGAGAATTGCTTGAAGATGCAGTTCTGCCCGCCTCGGCCTCCTCCAGGTGGAGGTTGCAATGAGCCAGGGTTGTGCCACTGCACTCCAGCCTGGGCGACAGAGTGAGGCTCTGTCTAAAAAAAAAAAACAAGAGTAATAGCATCTTTGTAAATGTTCTACATTTCTGAATTTAGGTCAGGAATTATCGTTTGGCTTATCTTTTATTTTTTTATATCTTTTTAAATATCTTTAGATCATTGGATTATCCATTTTAGTTCTTCATGAAAGACACTGCCATTGTCAGTATGTTGGTCTGGGACTCTATATACTAGAATGATAATAAAAGAATAGAATGCTGACTGGGCATAATGGCGTATGCCTATAGTTCCAGCAATTTGGGAAGCCAGGGTGGTAGGATCACTTGAGGCCAGGAGTTTGAGACCAGCCTGGGAAACATAGCAAGAGTGTCTCCACAAAAGTAGAAAAATTAGCTGGGCATGGTGGCATGCAGTTGTAGTCCAGCTACTCAGGAGGATAAGGTAGGAAGATCACTTAAGCCCAGGAGTTCAAGGCTGTAGAGAGCTATGATTGTACCACTGTACTCTAGCCTGGGTAACAGAGCGAGACTTTTTTTTTTTATTAAAAAAGGACTGTGCTCACCTCTAATAACAGTACAGGTGTCCTTTCACATATATAACAATTATATTCCAGTCAAGCTTCCTATAAAGCAAATCCCCATAATATGAATTCTAATTTTAGTTCATTTCTTTTTTAATTCTTTCCACCTTTCTTTGTGGAAATGAGGTCTCACCATGTTGCCCAGGGTGGTCTCAAACTCCTGGATTCAAGCAGTTCTCC